TTCTTCTGTCACTACTCTTTTCCTGCAAGACTGCACAGTGATCAGGGCCGTAACTTTGAAAGTAAGGTTATACAGGAGCTGTGTAGGATTGCAGGGGTGGAGAAGTCTCGAACAACACCCTACCACGCTATGGGTAATGGACGAACCGAGCGTTTTAACTCGACGTTACTCGGTATGCTTGGTACTCTGGACTCGGAGGGTAAGAGCAATTGGAAGGACTTTGTCAAGCCTCTTGTTCATGCCTATAATGCAACCAAACATGAGTCTACTGGCTACTCTCCGCATTATTTGATGTTCGGTTGGCACCCACGCCTAGCCATTGATGCATTCTTGGGCATCGAGCATCAACAGAAGTCGAAGTCCAGAGAGTCCTATGTTGACAAGTTGAAGAAGAGGATGGAGTTTGCATACAAGACTGCCCAAGAAACCTCCATCAAACAAGGACAGAGACACAAGACCTACTATGATGCTAAGGTTCACACTCTACATTAGATGTTGGTGATAGAGTCCTCATCAGGAACGTTACCCCTAAAGGCAAGTTAGACGACAAGTGGGAGAAGGAACCTTACATCATAGTAGGCATCCCCAATGAAGACATACCAGTCTACAAGCTGAAGAAGGAAGCTGGCAAGGGAAAAGAGAAGACCCTACATAGAAACCTCCTTCTTCCTCTGATGTCTATACCGTACACTTACGATGAGACACAGAGTGAAAAGCAGGTTTCTAAGCCAAAAGCCAGACCAGACAGAAGGGAACAGACTACAGGAGTTGTACCAGAGCAAGAGTCAGACTCAGACTGCAGCACAGGAAGTGAAACTCCTAGATACATCCCTCCACATAGAAGACCAGCATCCAAGCCTCGTGTACTAAGACCGGTGCAGCCAACCAACAATACACATGTTGTTTGTGAGGATCAGTTGTCATCTACTGGTGGAGAGATGTCATCATTTTCACAGAATTTAGGGTCTCAACATGTTTCTCCAAATTTACATTTTAGAGATAATTTTCCTGTTGATAACCTATATTCTATTTTTTCAGGTGGAAACCAATTTAGTAGTTCCCATAATAATGCTATTTTATCAAATAGTAATTTAAATACTAATGTTTCTAATAGTAACAATTTTTCTCTTGTTACAGATGACCCCAGTATTGTTCGAAGGTCATCAAGGGTTAGAAAACCACCAGATAGGTATGGTGAGTGGGTTAGACCCATCACAGCAAATGTTGATTTTCAAAATCATGACATTTTGTATCCTCAATCTTTTGCAGATCAGGGGAGAATGTCACATAATAGATATGACTTTTGATTTTCCATATAAATTATTGAAATATTGTATTTCAGTTTTGATTTATATGTGTTTTGTTTACTGAACTTAATTTCTGTGTTTTACATTACAGAATAGGTATAAAGTTTCAGTTTAAACGTGAAATCTTTATCAGAAATCATTATTATTTCTGTGTGTGCAATTTACATTTCAGATTTTCGAGAGAGAACAAGTAAATGAAATATGTATATTGTATTTCGAAATGTTTAAGGAAATGCCTTTGTTTTAATTATTCATATTGAATGCATTTCTTTTTGATATCTTATCTGAATTTTGTGTCTGAAAATGTTACATTTATCTTTTCAGAAAATATGGTGCAGTACCTTTAATGTTGACAAATTTAGTGTTGTACCTTTAACATGCTAAATGTCAATATGTGCCTTTAATGTACCATTACTCTTGGAGTCATGTTATTCTTATATATCTATTTCAGTATACATTAATTAGATAGAGTATGTTTTTAAATGTGTTTTATTATAGGTTGATGCAAATTGGAAAATGATTGTTGATATTTTAATTTTCAGCAGATGTATTATTTTCGCAATTGTTTATTGATTAGAAACTTTTCAGATGTTCAGAATCTTAACTACAGTAATTGTTTTGGAAAATTTTGCCTTAAAATTTAAAATTCATTTCAGTTAAATTATTAAATAAATATTGCTGAAATTTACTTGAATTTACTTAAATAGGTTAGGTAGTATTAATTTAAATGTATTTTAACTTGTTGATAGATTCTGTAAATTAATTAATGTAGGAAAATGTCAGGAGCCATTTTCTCCTACCAGGGGAGAATGTCACAGATTGAAATTATATGGTAATGGCAGCCGTGGCTTTCCATAGTTTTGTTTAAGCGGAAACATCGTGCACGCGCGTTTTTATTCGGTTTCGTTTAGGTTTTATCGTATAAGTTTAACTTCCGGTATTGAATCGGTGAAAATCGACAATTTCCGTCAATGATGTACATTGTCGATCTCACCCGTGCAATATCGTGAACACTGGTCACTCTTTCTTTCTTGTAACTTATCCAATTGTTGTGTTTGTTATGTATGATTCTATGTGAGAGAGATATCCATTGGTTCTTTTAAATAGTTTTTACTTCTGCGCACTGTTTGCTTTTCCTGTCCCGCTCACTCTTTACAGTCATCTCTTACGAGTCAGACATAGTAAAAACTTAACATTTATATAGATATACATTTACTTTACCTATTTCAATTTATATTGAAATAGTTTAATTACAGACGCTGTGGTAAGAATAGTATTAATATTAGAATATTAATTGTATTTCTTATGTATTTTCTTATTCCGCGTCGATTGTGTATATATTGTTATTTCATTGTATTTTGTTTTTCTATGTATTGTATTTGTAAGATGTATAATTATTTTATTATATTTTTAGACCATTTTTATTTGGAGTCATTAAAAACATCGAACCTACGCCCAGAGTTTTGTTTCTGTTCCACCGGAAATATTTGACCCTGTGACATAAGATATACATTTGTAAAATCAATTGATAACTACAAATTAAACACTTCTTCTACTGTACTAGACTTGAAATTACTGAGTGATTCCATTCCGAAGGTACAAATTTGGACATGTAAATACTATGTTTGTATCTCGCTCAATTTTGTTAACTGTTTTTTATGTGTGTTCATACATTTTAAGAAAAGGATTAAAGAGAAAGTTTAACATTCCTGTGAACTATCCTTTTTCCAGATCACTTAGTCTATATTCTTTTATTAAGTATGGATATCAAATAAATTCTAGTTACATAAAAATTAAAATTCTATAGTACACATACACTTGATAGAATTTTAAATTAGAAATATAACTTATTATAAAGTTATTTTCATCATCAAGGCAGTGTGGTAAGATTCTTCTCATTTCATTCATTTCCTTGAAATAATTCTTATTGCGCAATTGTTATGTTGTACTTTTAATTAACTTAAAATTATTATAATTAAGTATTTATGTTTTAGACTTTTTCTTTATATACTTCTATTAAATTGATGAACCTTCTCTGAGAGTTAGTTATTCTACCCCGTGACATTGGTGGCCAGTGTGGAGGTCTAGTATATGTGAAAATGAAAAGGAGCATTTTTCACAATTTAGGCATACCCTCAATACGACAATAGCAGTTGTAAATGTGCTATGTGCTTGTAAATTTGCTATGTGTTTATTATTTTGCTTAGTTTTAATTTATGTAAAACGCTTAGACTACATGTTTTGTTTGTTTGCTTTGCTTTTGTGCATCCCTTTTTAGTTAGCTATGATGCTTTGATTATATGTTGTGTTTCAATTTTCCTTAAACCCTATATTTTATGCTAGTTGAATCTTTGTTGTATGATTTGTATGCTTTGTTCATATCAAAACTCCTTATTCCCCATTCCATTAGGCTGTGCATGCAACTTAATTTTAGTTAACTTTGTTTGTTACCCTGTATGTGCTTTATCTTGTTTCTTTTTTATCCTGTATTAGTTCTATCATAAATTTTTATGCACTTTTATAAGTAAGTTTTATTTATCTATTTATTTATTTTTTAGGAAACCTTCAATTACGTATTTATAAATTGTAGATGTTAACTTATAACTATTACTATTTTATTAATTTTTTATATTTTATTATTATTTTTATTTATTTCACATTGCTATATGTATCATACTTAAATTTCTAGACTACAGTCATTTATTACTTTTAGAAACTGTTATTACCTTTAATACAATATGTACTGTGCATGTCATCAATCTATGCCTTAATTTACCATCTTATTGTAAAGTTCTTCTTAACCTTGATACTCTTATTTCATGCTTAAAGCTGCTAATAGTTTAATATGTTTTTATTTTCAGAACTGTTATATGTTAGTAAATATGTTTTATGCCTTTTTATTACATGCTTTGCGGTGGTTTATAGAAATATATCAGTGATATAAAACTGGTAATTTCACTGTTTGAAACAGTGAAATTACCACTTTGATAATTTCACTGTTTTGAATTTAAGCCCCTTACGTTGTTTCAGTGAAATATCAGCGTGCACAGTACTGGGTACCAACTTAATGACGTGACGTCGTAAATGACGTCACGTTGTATTATTATTTGCCGCGCATTTCATTCAGTATTAGGTTTAATGTCTTTTTAAAACGTTTCTTTGCATGTAATAAAAAGAAAATTTGTTTAGTTTAGTGTAAGATTGAAATATATTTCACCTTGTGAACACCAAAAGTTCATATTTCACTCGTGGCTGCGCCACTCGTGAAATATACCTTTTGGTGCTCACTCGGTGAAATATATTCCGATCTTACACTGAACTAAACAAATATCCTCTATATTATTGTCGGTAAATAGCTTATTAGCTAATGTTTCTTGTAATATGTAAACCGACTTAAAATAAAGTTTCTTGTATCTTGTTGTATCTTGTATATTATATTGTTTCATATTGGGTACAGTATAGTAATGTTCATAGTGAACTTCAACCGGTTTATAAATTAGGCCTCTGAAGTGGGGATCTAAATTAATCAAGGGTTTTGACAATAAGTTTTCTATTTTAATATGTGTGTAACATTTATAAAATTGAAAACAATATAATATTGAATTCAGAATTGTAATGGATCTATAAACATTTGAACTGTATTATGTCTCAACTTAATTCGTTATGACACTGACTGACATATAATATACTTACACTATTGCCATCTTTAATTTTCAAATCTTTTAACACACGTCGTGTTCTTGGGCTGGCCATTTTGCTATTTAAATTCAACAAAATTCAATCCTTTTTTGCTGAGGTGTCACCTGTCAAATCGAAATCATCGCATCCACATATTCGAATTAATATTTTGAATGTTTTCTGCAAAACTGATACTCATATTATTAAATCAAGTTAATTTTACATTAAGAAAGAGTTTCAACTTGGATTGTGAGGAATGACTAAAATGAATACCCGTATATTGTTTTTAATTCGAAAAAATACACATCAATATTTTCAAAACGGTATGCCTAAAATACGAAAGTAAGATTTTTGACGAAAGTGAGCGAAAGTGAGCGAAAGTGACTTTTAAAATAGTAATTATAACATTTTAATAGACTTTTAAAACAAACTTGCAGTTTGTAGACGTATATTATTAGAAAAATAATTATATTTATTAACAGAAATAATCATAATGATGATTTAATCGCTACTAATTTGCATAATTTCTATACTGCAGTACACAAGTTCTTATATCTTCCTTTCGTTCACATTGAAAAATACGAAAGTGACTTATAAAATATTAAATATTCTGTTTAATTGAAATTTTTACTAAAATTACAATTTGTAGATGTATATTATCAGAACTAGATGATACCTATTTTTTAAAATAATCATTATGATGATTTAATCGCTATTTATTTGCATTATTTTTAGACACAAGTTCAGATATCTTCCTTCGCTCAGATTGAAAAAATACGAAAGTGACTTCAAAATATCGAATATAGCGATTAATTTGAATCTATATAATTATAAAAGATTGTAGACGTATAGTTTTGGAATTTGATCGATAATATCTATTTTTAAAAATTATCATTATGATGATTTAATCGCCATTTATTTGCATAATTTCTATACACAAGTTCAGAAATCTTCCTTTCGCTCACATTGAAAAATACTAAAGTGACATATAAAATATTAAATATACTGGTTAAGTTGATTTTTTACTAAAATTTCTCTAAGCAGACGTATACTATCAGAAATTGATAATATTCATTTTCAAAAACAATCATTATATATGATGATTTAATTGCTATTTATTTGTATAATTTCTATACACAACTACATAGATCTTCCTTTCGCTCACATTGAAAAATACGAAAGTGACTTATAAAACATTCAATATACCGTTTATTTTGAATTTATATTAATACAACAGTTTGTAGACACATAGTTTCAGAAATGAATAAAAAATACTTAAAAATCATTATGAGGTTTTAATATTCATGCATTTTCATTATTTCTATATAGCAATTTCAGAGATCTTACTTTCGCTCACTTTCGTATTTTCAATGTTAAGGAGAAGAAGCGAAAGTGATTTTAAAAATATCAAATATAGCGTTTTAATTGCACTTAATATTAATAATGCAGTTTGTAGACATATATTATCAAAACTAGTATCTTTAATCAATATGATTTGATCTTCATTTATTAGCATAATATTTATACACAAGCTCAGACATTGATCTTCCTTTCGCTTACTGTGAGCCTGACGAAAGTGACTTACAGAATATCAAATATAGCGTTGAAATAGGATTTCATGATAATATTGCAGTTTGTAGACGTATCTTATAAGCTATAGTAACTATCATTTTTATAAAACTTAATATGTTAAGATGAAAAATGAAATTTATTATGTAAACTATAATTGTCAAAAACATGAATTAAACAATTTATGCGTTAGGGCTCCGATTTACAGTTCTCAATTTCTTACATCGTCTTTTTCGGGCAGTTTTTAATTTTTGATTAACGATGGTGTTACCTAACATTTAATATTCTGTTTATATATCATATTGTAATTATACTGTTTGATTCTAATCTAACAGTAATAGGTCTTGAATGTGTTTCTCATTATTATAATGTCTCTTGAAATTCTTAAATGGAATGGTCTTATGTAGGTTTTATGTGAATAGTTGTATATATGTTTGAAAATGCATGTATACGAATGAGACAAAATAAAGTATGAATATGTTTACATGCAAACACGTGTTGTCATATCATTTTCGCACCCACTTTAATTTAAAGTACACACGACGGTGACCGCATGACGCTTTAATCCCACTAAAGTATTATTATAATCCAATCATAGGTATGTAACTGATGACACTTGCCCGGTTGTTTATTGAGTGGACAATTGAATTAACCTTTCTTCTGCACCACCATAGATATCTTGCACGGATTAAAGTGGCAGTTATTATGCTCATCCAGGTGTAGATGAGCAATGTACATGTTAATTTGAAAAATAATTTGGAATTTCCCATCATTATGTTAAAATGATATTTCACTATGAAAAAAGGAAATAAGTAATCTACGATATTTTCTATAAATATCGTACTATATATATCGGTAAAGTTCAATCTTTTTATAAGTTAGGATTTTTTTTATATTTTGTGCTAGTCATTTCATCATCAATTATAGGTCAATCACCATGAAAACATGAATAATAATGAAAATGACTCATTTATTTTTTTATTAAAAAAACATTAATATCGTGAATATTGACATTGACTTTCATCCGATTAAGTCACTTTCGTATTGTTCAATGTAGGCAAAAGTAAGATATCAGAACAGGTATACAGCAATTATGAAAATACATGGATATTAAATCATCATAATGATTATTTTTTTTAATATATTTTATTCATTTCTGAAAACATGCGTCTTTCAGCGCTATATTTGACATTTTTGAAGTCACTTTCGTATTTTTCAATGTGAGGGAAAGGAAGATCTGTTAACTTGTGTAATGCAAATAAAGGGCGGTTAAATCATCATAATGATTATTTTTAAAAATAAATATAATTGACTTCTGATATTGTACGTCTACAAATTAATTGCAATTTTAGTAATACATTCAATTTAAACAGTATATTTGATATTTTGTAAGCCACTTTCGTATTTTTCAATGCGAGCAAAAGGAAGATCTCTGTATATAACTTGTGTATATAGATTATGCAAAATAAATGGCGATTTAATCATCATAATGATTATCTTTGAAAGTAAATATTATCATTTTCTGATATTATACTTCCACTTTGTGCAATAATAGTAAAAATAATTTCAATTTAAATGGTATATTTTATATTTTATAAGTCACTTTCGTATTTTTCAATGTAAGCGAAAGGAAGATATAAGAATTTGTGTATATAAATTATGCAAATAAAAACCGAATAAATCATCATTATGATTATTTTTCATAATAAATATAAGTAATTTCTAATAATATACGTCTACAAACTGCAATTTTATTGTAAAAGTCTATTAAAACGTTACAATTAATATTTTAAAAGTCACTTTCGCTCACTTTCGCTCACTTTCGTCAAAAATCTCACTTTCGTATTTTAGGCAAACCCTTTTCAAAATGGCGTCTTATGAAATAAAATTATTTTATTCAAAGAGAAAATCATCAGTTTACATGTTGACAGTCATTTTTTAAACGATTATTCAACAACATTTAAAGTAAAATGGTGAAAGACAAAATCGTTGAAACGCTTAAAGCGTATAAACTTGGTAATAAATGAAAAAAACTACATTTTAATCGTAATGTCACTAGTTTTCGCGATATAATTTTAAATTTGGGAAAGCTAGGTCAAATACTCCTAGTCCAATTACCAAAGACATACAAGAGAAGAAATTCGAATAATGCTTTTAATGCCAGAAACTTCATGAAAATAAAATTATATTTTTCTTAGGTTTATTCACTGGAAGTCAATTTCAGTTAGATTGCTTTATGTCAAAAAATGCAAAAATTAGCTAGCTATTTTATCTTGGCTCTTTTTTACGAGTTGATTTGGGTAATAAAAAGTTGATTTCTATAAAGTAATATATATTGTGACATATCTACTTGTTTTAGCGTAATAAATAATATTATTGTCAGTGCGTTTTTAGTAATTTAGGTTTAACATATATGACATAAAACTACAGATCCTATTTTATTGGCATGTTTCTGAAAATAATCACATCTCTACCAAATGGTATTTTCGAACACAAAATGGAGTCTTCGCTTGTGGAATGGATATTTGCTAAATATTACAGGCCTAGACATTAACTTTTGAATCAGGTTGTCCTGTCGGGCAAGTAGTTTTTAAAACTACTTGCCCGTGACCTAAGACTTACTTGTCCTGACCTAAAAATGGTAAAAATGTATAAATCAGAAAAACAAACAAGCTCATAAATATTTTTTGTATTTAGTAGTTTTTCTAAAACATCGGTTCATCTGTTTATTCAATGTGAATATACTACGGTCATGTACATTTGTTGATATAGGAAACGGAAGGAAAAATATGAGCATGCGCCGCGGTAAGGAAATTCCCCGTTCAATCATCAAGTCAACAGCCATAAACGAGTCTTCGTTTACTAAGTTCATAATGTTGTTATATTAGATTAAACAATAAATCATTTTTAATGCAAAAACTTTATTTAACAATTATATTTAAAGATCAATATGATTATCTACATATTTTCAATGATATCTTTACATGCAAACATCAAAATTTAAACAACAGCATAACCCGGGATTTACCTTGTACAAAATTAGATATTTAGTCTATTATTAGAACAGAGAATTACCTTACCGCGGCGCATGCTCATATTTTTGCTTCCGTTTCCTATATCAATAAATGTACATGACCGTAGTATATTCACATTATTGATAATAATTCATGGTGTATTTTTGTTTTAAAGATGTTTATAAATGAAAAGATGTTATTTCTATTCATTTTGTACATGCATTTTGTCAATGATGCTTTTTATTTTCACTTGCCCTGTCGGACAAGTGCTTTTCAAAATAACTTGCCCGGACCAAACTTTTAGTTGTCCCGGGCAGTCGGACAACCGTTAATGTCGAGCCCTGTATTATGGTTTAACTGACAGATTACAGGGCTCAAGCTAGGTTCAAAATTTAGGGAGAAGTCACTTCTCCCTCCAGCTGCTTTAGGGAGAAGTGGGGAGACTTTAGGGAGAAGTGAGGAGATTCATTTATCGATGTTTGTTGTATGTTATCGCAATTATGTTGACTCACTGTACATATCTTATTAAATGAATTGGATTTGTGTTACAACAGAATATTCAATTTTAATTTAAAAGTAGTTTGAAACAAGTAATAAGAATGAGTATCATGTAATGCAACCATTGCATTAAATGAAGATAAAAAAGCCATAGTTGATTCCTATCATGGATCATATCATGGGTGGATTAACAGTTATTCCCTTCTGATTTCCTATTAAAAAGCTTGCACCGGACATTATATTCATATTCACTTATGTTGTAAAGAAAATGAAAGTAGATAACGAAAGAAACGATCTTTAATTTAACTTCATTTGTAATAAATACAGTGTAATACGCCGTCAATTTGATCAAATTTAACTCGTCGACAAAAAGGTTATCATAACTTTCATTAAAAATTACCGTTACAGTTATATGTCGGGCGGTCCTCTTAATTCTAGTGAAAATTTAATTGACGTTTGATCCGTCCATCATAAATAATTGTTACGGGTAGTTGTATGTTAGCGATTTAATGATTGGTTTAATAATGTCACCTCGATTAAAACGTGAATTACGATTGGTTTCTCGCACGTATCGGTAATCTCGCCGTGGGCGGAGTCTAATTGTTCCTCGAGTGTCTGTTAATTAGACTTTTATGACATGTTGGTAAACAAACGGATTAATGACATTTCGCGTTGATTGAGATGCATGACAGTCCCTTTTTCCGGCGGCGAGGGTAAACAAAGCAAACACACTCAACATGTTATTCACAGTTATTGTTATTGTTGGTAATTTTCAATAATGGATCAATAAAATCGGGCGACTTCATCTTCGCTTTCATGTAGGATGTCGGCGAAGTCAGACAGAATTCGGCAACTATTTCGCCCGAATCGCCCACTAGCTCGAGCCCTGGGTTAATATGAAAGTAGGCAAAACCTATGAACATGGAAGTCAAATTACAAAAAAAAATTCATTTTTAGCTCACCTGTCACAAAGTGACAGGGTGAGCTTTTGTGATCGCTTTTCGTCCGTCGTCCGTCCGTAAACTTTTGCTTTAAATGACATCTCCTCATAAACCACTGAGCCAATTTCATCCAAACTTCACAGGAATGTTCCTTTGGTGGTCACCTTTAAAAATTGTTCAAAGAATTTAATTCCATGCAGAACTCTGGTTGCCATGGCAACCAATAGAAAAAAACTTTAAATATCTTCTTTTAAAAAACCATAAGAGCTAGAGCTTAGATATTTGGCATGAAACATCTTCTAGTGAGTGTCTACCAAGTTTGTTCAAATAAAAGCCCTGGGGTCAAAATTGGCCCCGCCCCAGGGGGTCATTGATTTTCCCTATATGCATATAGTAAAAACTTAAAAAATCTTCTTTTAAAGAACCTTAAGAGCTAGAGCTTAGATATTTGGCATGAAACATCTTCTAGTGCATGTCTACCAAGTTTGTTCAAATAAAAGCCCTGGGGTCAAAATTGGCCCCGACCCAGGGGGTCATTGATTTTCCCTATATGCATATAGTAAAAACTTAAAAAATCTTCTTTTAAAGAACCCAAAGAGCTATAGCTAAGATATTAAGCATGAAACATCTTCTAGTGAGTGTCTACCAAGTTTGTTCAAATTAAAGCCCTGGGGTCAAAATTGGCCCCGCCCCGGGGGTCATTGATTTTCCCTATATGCATATAGTAAAAACTTAAAAAATCTTCTTTTAAAGAACCATAAGAGCTAGAGCTTAGATATTTAGCATGAAACATCTTCTAGTGAATGTCTACCAAGTCTGTTCAAATAAAAGCCCTGGGGTCAAAATTGACACCGCCCCAGGGGGTCATAGATTTTCCCTATATGCATATAGTAAAAACTTAAAAAAATTTCTTTTAAAGAACCCAAATAGCTAGAGCTAAGATATTAAGCATGAAACATCTTCTAGTGAGTGTCTACCAAGTTTGTTCAAATTAAAGCCCTGGGGTCAAAATTGGCCCCGCCCCGGGGGTCATTGATTTTCCCTATACGCATATGGTAAAAACTTAAAATCTTCTTTTAAAGAACTCAAAGAGCTAGAGCTTAGATATTTAGCATGAAACATCTTCTAGTCAATGTCTACCAAGTTTGTTCAAATAAAAGCCCTGGGGTCAAAATTGACCCTGCCCCAGGGGGTCATAGATTTTCCCTATATGCATATAGTAAAAAGTTAAAAAATCTTCTTTTAAAGAACCCAAAGAGCTAGAGCTAAGATATTTAGCATGAAACATCTTCTAATGAGTGTCTACCAAGTTTGTTCAAATAAAAGCTCTGGGGTGAAAATTGGCCCCGCCCCAGGGGGTCATTGATTTTCCCTATATGCATATAGTAAAAACTTAAAAAATCTTCTTTTAAAGAACTCAAAGAGCTAGAGCTAAGATATTTAGCATGAAACATGTTCTAATGGGTGTCTACCAAGTATGTTCAAACAAAAGCCCTGGGGTCAAAACTGGCCCCGCCCGGGGGGGGGGGGTCATTGATTTTCCTTATATGTGTATAGCAAAAACTTAAAAATCTTCTTTGGAAAAACCCAAATAGCTAGAGTTTAGATATTAAGCATGAATCATCTTTAAGTAAATATCTACAAAGTTTGTTAAAATAAACGCCCGGGGGTCAAAACTGGCCCTGCCCCAGGGGTGACATTGTTTTTAACTATATGTGTATAGTAAAAACTTTGAAAATCTTCTTTTAAAAAAGCCAATGAGCTAGAACTTAGATGTTTAGCATGAAACATCTTCTTATGGGTGTCTACCAAGTCTGTTCAAATAAACAAATAAAAGCCCTTGGGTAAAAATTGGCCCGGGGGTGGGGGGCCTATATACAGGTGAGCAACCTCAGGGCCATCATGGCCCTCTTGTTTATTTCATATTCAGTTTTAAAAGTGTCATTCAGTATTTTATGCACTGCTTCCATTTACACTAGTCTCCAGTGCACTTCTGACTTCATCTTGGATGGGAACCATAATAGGACGGAACCAGACTATGCTTCTGTGTTTGATCAGAACAACTGGGCTAATATGACATTAGGTGCTTCCTATGGCATGGAAAGCTTTAATGATTTAATATGAAGCATAACATGTTCAGTTTACATTTAAACCAGATCTTTCATGCAAGTGTTTGTATTGTAAAACAGAAACAAATAAATTTGTGGTGTTCAACCTGTCATCAGAGGTCTCCGAATATTTCTGGAAATCTCTAAACTCCTCACAGTGATTTCATTGCCTACGCTCACTGAAGCGAAGCAAAGGGGGACCACTGCGTTAATAAATGGGGACCACTGCGTTAGAGTTGGAAAATCCCATTTGCCATTTTTATTAATCTCTAATGATAGTATTAATCTCTAATGACAGTTGTTGTTTTAACTTTATCTTTAACTTGCTGGTTCATCAAAATTGATATGTAAAAAAACTGGTTACATTTACTATTGTTACAATAGTTCTTATCATTAATAAGTTTATTTATTTTCTGATTTTGTACATATTTTTTTACCGGAAGTGTTATTTGACACAGAAGACCAGCACATCTTCTAGCAATAGTCTGAATTATATAGACTCTCAAAAGTACCCTGATATCTATATTTAGCTCAAAAGGATTTCAAAATGGCGACAAGGATTTCAATATGTACACTAAGGATTTTTCTCAAACTTTTTAGATATATATTTTTATTGATTTTAAAGTGATATCAATTTTATTTATTCACGCCATACATTTATCTAAGAGCGCTACAGCCCTCCCGGGGCCTGCAGCACTGCTCAAGCTTTCAGAATATTATTGTTGACCCTTTACCTCATATAGACGTGTTTTGATTGCTTTTAGTGTAGTGTTTCAGGTATGAATAGGGTATACTGCATTTGGATATTTTTTTGAAAACATTTGAGTGTTTTTGGATATTTCTTGCTGCCTTGCCTGTGCAGATGGTTTAAAATGGCTGTTGTGTTGTCCATCAACATGAATTTATAATCATAGTGTTTGGTGAATTTTGATCCTTTCTCATACAGCACCAAGATCACCATGCAATTTGTTGAGGAACTTCAAACATCATGAAAATGCTGTACATTATTTATATTATCCTGGTTGAACTCTCCATGTAGTTGTTTTGTTTGATGTTTCAGCTCATCAAGTGCTTTGTGTCAAAGCTTTCAATTTTCATGGGAAATCACTCATAGTAAGTTTACCAGTTTTTCCTTCAAACTTGCTTTAATGTTTGAATTTGAATAATATTATTATACATGCATACAGAGTCAATATTGAATATTTAATTTTGTTACAAATTCAAAAAAGATTAAAATACTTTATATAATACATTTTTTTAAAGAATTTAGATTTAAATTAATAGCATGATCATTATAAGTTCATTAATGATTTTGCTTATCTTATTTATTCATGTACCTATCTCTTGTTAATATATTCATACATTGAAGTCTTTGTTTAAAACAATAAATATTTTAACTTGTAATTTAACTGTTATTGTAGGGTTATGTTGAACTGACAATATATCCACTTCGTGCTGATTTAAAGAGGATCAAAATCAACAGTAAACAGTGCCGTATCCTTTCTGATTATAATTATATAGTAGAAAATGTGGGTTTTAGTAATGGTTTAAAATGTACATGTGAAAGTTGGAACTAAATCAACTAATATTTACAGATTGTTGTTTTTTTTTTCAAATTATCATGACATTACTTACTTTACAGGGTATAAAGCTATATCTAATGAAATATTTTTATAGTATTCATTAACAGTAAAGATATATTGTTTCAATAAAGTCATGGTTGATTTTCAATAGTTGCAATAGTGAACATGAATAGTTTATGTTATCTGAATAAAATGTTGTTGAACAAAATATTATGCTGTTATTGGAAGTACCGTTTTTACCTGTTTAGCAACAATGTCATTTATACATGACAAAGACATAGATTATCTATGTCTCTGTACATGATAAGCTGTAAACTTAATAAGGAAATCTACAAATACATGTATATTTCTTTCATTTTTGAATTATCCTTTTTCCAACAGTAACTTTGTAAACAACAGACAGCAGATAATAAAGATATATGCACTTTACATGTATGATGACTACAGTGATAAAGACCTACAATGATATAGTATTTTTTAAAGATTCAGATAATATTGCATATGATATGAATATTGTACATTATTGACCTTGACAGTATACAGGGATATATAGAGTATTAGTTAATGATACATGGGAGTCACAGTTCTGGTATAATGATCCTACCCTAGAGGCTGTACAAGATGAAGAAAAGGCCAGACAGTATGTATATTACCATTATTTGCAAGATTGAAAAAAAATAACGCAAATAACCTACCCATACATCTGTGTCAAACTGTCAATAGCTTAATATCCCTCCAATATTTGATTGAACCCATCATGGTATTGCTTTAAAATTGAACTGTTATACTTGATGACCTTCAACTCAACTTATTGGCCAGAAAACCAGACTGTTTTGACAAAATGATGAAATTTAGAGGTGCTTATTTTCACTGTTGCAAAGCTGATGTAAAGCTACAAATGGTTAAAAATAACAACAAAAAAATCAATTGGTAACAGGTTATTTTTATTTTTTATATGAGAAGAATATGAAAAGAGACTTTCGTGTTTTGGTTTTAAAAGTTTTGATGTCACTTCACTAGTTAAAGTATATATTGACTATGGTAAAGAATATTATATCTCAGGACAAGATTTAACATTTAAGGTGTAGTTTGGAAGCATATGAGAAGTGTTATAATGCTGCTGTAAAGTCAACTAACCCTGATCTTGGTAATGGTGAAGTTACAATACGTATACCACAGGAATGCTTACCTCTTATTGCTGGTATGTTAACACAATTATAACTTTTTTGTTTTTCTCAAAATCATATTGTTATTTTGTCATTACTTACAGAGATAGAGAAACAAGAAGTCTTTTTGATTATAATATGTAATTTTCATTGTAATATGCTGTTTTATATCAAAACTTTATCAGTTGGTATTTTATTTCTGAATAATGTATAATGGTGTACATATATTATATCTATAATGGCATTCTGTTAAATATTCCATGCTTTAAATATCAAAATTTAATCTGTTCAAGCTTAGCGCAAGCAAACATAATTATACAAGATATAGATATTCTATACATAATATTGAACAATCATGCATACCTCTATAAATGAATTTGAATCATACAGAGATGAGGCCATTCAGGATAAATATAGAATTTTCCCTGGAGCAGCCAGAAGGTGGTTTACATTTTGTTTTACCAAATATAGATGGTACACTAGCAGAGAGAGGGGCTCATTGTTTTACATATAGACATGAAAATAGTTCAAGGTATACATGTTCTTACATTAGTGTAACATAATTATTCTTTAACTGATTTGTTTTGTAGCCATTTAATGTATTTTATGGAGGAATGGCATAGAAAGAAATTGTATTCTTCTTGTAAAAATAATTTGTACCATAGAATTGAAATGAGTTATTTAAAGTCTACGCTAGTATTTCTGAAAAATATACTTTTCGGAAACAAACCAGAACAATCTTTTTAAGGGATGGTTGAAATAGATGTTGAAGTGATAACTTCTGTCTATGAAAGTCATTGTCTTGGCACATATTTAAAAAAAGATAGATAATCCAAAAATTAATTTCAAGTTTTAGTTGGTCTCTTTCCATGGAAATTGTTGTCACAGTTTAAGATACATACTTCATCTTCTACATTGTATAGTTGAGTTGAAGCTTTTGCAGCTGCTATTTTCTCATCATTATTTTACTATTATGTTCATATATCCTAGAATTTCAGTAAACATATTATATAGTCTATTGATTGTGACATATTCCCATGACAGGGTAACTGTTATAGAATGTATACATTGGTAAAGCCAGTCAAATTTGATATACATACTATTTATATAACTTTATAGGTTGTGGTTCCCTTGTATAGACAGTTATGCGGAGCCCTGCACATGGAAGCTGGAGTTTACCTGTGACCTTGACATGACAGCAGTGTCATGTGGTGACCTTTTAGAGGTCATATATACAACAGATAAGAGGGCAAAAACATTTCATTATTATCTGAGTACTCCAACATCAGCTCCTAATATAGCTCTAGCTGTAGGGTATGTAGTACAATATATAGGTTGTTTTTTATACCCCCATAAACGAAGTTTGGGGGGGTATATAGGAGTCACCCGGTGGTCGGTCGGTCGGTCGGTCGGTCGGTCGGTCCAGACGTCCGTTGCATTTTCCTTGTCCGGAGCATAACTTGAAAACTAATGGTTGGAATTCAATATAACTACATACAATGGTCAAGCACATTGAGAGGAAGTGCAGTGCACAAGAACCATAACTCTATCTTGACTAATTACAGAGTTATTGCCCTTTGTTACTTTTCCTTGTCCGGGGCATAACTTGAAAACTACTGGTTGGAATTCAAAACAACTTCATACAATTGTCAAACACAATAAGGGGAAGTGCAGTGCACAAGAACCATAACTCTATCTAAAGTAATTACAGAGTTATTGCCCTTTGTTGCTTTTCCATTGTTTTTTTTTGTCCGTTGCATTTTCCTTGTCCGGAGCATAACTTGAAAACTAATGGTTGGAATTCAATATAACTACATACAATGGTCAAGTACATTGAGAGGAAGTGCAGTGCGTAAGAAACATAACTCTATCTTGACTAATTACAGAGTTATTGCCCTTTGTTACTTTTCCTTGTCCGTGGCATAACTTGAAAACTACTGGTTGTAATTCAAAACAACTTCATACAATTGTCAAACACAATAAGGGGAAGTGCAGTGCACAAGAACCATAACTCTATCTAAAGTAATTACAGAGTTATTGCCCTTTGTTGCTTTTCAATTGCCTTCTTTTTTTTGTCCGGGGCATAACTTGAAGACTAATGGTTGGAATTCAATATAACTACATACAATGGTCAAGCACATTGAAAGGAAGTGCAGTGCATAAGAACCATAACTCTATCTAAATTAATTACAGAGTTATTGCCCTTTATTACTTTTCCATTGCTTTCTTTTGTCCGGACCATAACTTGAAGACTTATTGTTGGAATTCATTATAACTTCATACAATGGTCAAGCACAATAAGGGGAAGTGCAGTGCACAAGAACCATATAGAGTTATTGCCCTTTGTTACTTTTCCTTGTCCAGAGCATAACTTGAAAACTACTGTTTGGAATTCAGTACAACTTCAAACAGTTGTCAAGGACATTCAAAGGAAGTGCAGTGCACAAGAGCCATAACTCTATTTTGACAAAATACAGAGTTATTGCCCTTTGATACTTTTCCTTGTCCGGAGCATAACTTAAAACGTACTGGTTGGAATTCAAAATAACTTAATACAATGGTCAAGCACAATAAGAGGAAGTGCAGTGCACAAGAACTATAACTCTATCTTCAGTATTTATAGAGTTATTGCCCTTTGTTCTTTTTCTTTGTCTTTCTGGACTTATTACAGAGTAATTCAATTAAACTTCATCAATGGCCAACCACATTGAAAGGAAATGCATCATACATGAACCACAACTATCTTTAATTGCCCACAACCATAACTCTATGTTTCAATTCTTTTACAAGGTATTCTGTTACTAGTAACATCATCATTTCCGAAGCAGACTTGTGGGGGTATTAATCACATTTAGTGATAGTTCTAGTTCTGATAAGTTTAAATTTAAGATAGACCATTATATATTTTTACCATTTCTAAATAATGAAAAATTTTATGGATTTCAAAACAGTTGATTTTACAGCAAATTATATATATCATAGTTGTAAAATGTAAAAGTGGTGGTGGTGTTGGTAGTTTTTACTCCGGATCACGGCAGTAAGCCATATTGAATATACCAGAGCACAGTTCAGTCACCGCATCATTCCTAGGCAAGCTGCGCCATCCGAGAATCAAACCCGGGTTGCCGGATTCACAGTCCAACGCTCTACCTCTGTTAAAGTAGAATTTCATGCTATTTTTAAATCAGATAAAGACAAGGTGTATAGATTTTGGAAACTTTTATATAACTATTCAATTTCAGACCATTTGAGATTCTGGTTGACCCAAACATGCATGAAGTTACACATTTCTGTTTACCTCATTTAAAAGGTATCCTCAAACATACCACCAGTTACCTACATGAGGTAAGTATTCTATGATATATATTTCTACATTAATTATAAAGACCTGTGATTTAGTTTGGGCTGTACATATACTCATAAAATGATAATTGATTATAGTTAGACTCTTGACTACCAGGACATAAACAACTATCTATTTATATATTTTGACGACTTTAATATATCATCATGGGGTGTTCCATATGGATTAAAGGGGATGTTATTACTTATACAAATACAAATACAAGACATTTATATAGTGCAAAAATGTATTAAATATTTGATTGCGCTGTACATTATTAAGACTATATACACATATGCTTGATCAAGACACTCCCAAACCCAGTCTCGATGGCACAGCCAATCTACAACTCTAGTTGAAAAACAGTCCAAACAAGTATGTTTTAAGTTTGGCCTTAAACTGATTTTCATTGGTAATGTCTTTCAGATAGTCTGGCAATGAATTCCACCATTTAGGTCCCACAATAGCCAAGGATCTATCAGCAAGTTGATATAAATGCCTGAAGATTTTTCTAAATGTAAAGCAAACAATATTATATAAATATCCTGTCAATAGTGTACTCTTTTGAATTATATATAGAACATTAAGTTGTTTAAGAAAACATTTGTAACAGATGTTATGATGAAGTAAACAAGACCATTTTAACATAGAAGTATTGAGTTTTGAAACTGAAATTATACCTTCTCCAAGATCAATGTATTATTTACCTCAATGACATTACTAATGAGATTTCAATGTGATGTATATTTTACAGAGTTTTGAGTTTTATGAAGAGTTGATGTCTAGTCGTTATCCATTCTCGTGTTATAAACAAGTTTTTGTTGATGAGAGCTATGAAGATATGCAGTCATTCTCAACTATGACAATATTCAGGTTAGTTATGTATCATCATTTTCTACATTTGAAAGAATGATACTTGTGAAAAAAATAGTTTGTTATCTATTGAATTACTTTCGTTCTCAATAGATAAATTAAATTATGTTAGAACTGTCGCTTATATCATTCCGAGTTAGCAAAATTTAGTCTGTCAGTTATTTTGTTTTGGTTTTTTTTCAGCTCATTGTTATAACTAATAAGAGTGAAGCTTTATTTTCTTTAACATCTTTATTTAAATGTTGATCTCATTATTATTGCGACTTATATGTCATTGAACATGACTCTTGATTGGAAAGAAAAGTTATTCTATTTAATTCTATCATTTCAAATCATTACGTTAACTAAATTACTTTTAATATACAATGTATTAAATACTTTTAAAAAGAAAATTAATAAGAAAGAACAAAAACTTCTTTCTTATCATATATGATTTTGTTCTACTGTCTTACAGAAACAAATTTTTGCAGTCTTACAGAATCAGTTGATAAAAGTTTGATATAATTTCAGTACAAATTTACTACACTCTGCACGGATCATTGAGCAGACAATAATAACGAGGAAGTTTATGGCGTCTGGTATAGCTCACCAGTTCTTTGGTTGTTTTATTGTGATGCAGTGCTGGTTTGATGCCTGGTTAACTAAAGGTATAGCTGCATACCTAACACAATTGTTTGTGAAGAAAACATTTGGTAACAATGAATACAGACATGGTATTGCTCAGGTATAGTGATTTTATACAGGAAATAGATTTATATAATATAATATATTATTTGCATGATTATTTGACTAACAATAAATAGGATACATTTTTTTACAGATTGTTAAGTTATCAGTATATGAGACACATTTTCATGCTAGAATGTTATCTTCCATATTTGAAACAAACAATATTTTATCTGAAGGTCAAAATGGCTTCCGTAAAGGTCGAAGTACTATTGATCATTTGTCGACCCTGACTAGTATTGTTGATACTCGTAGGAAAAGGAAATTGTCAACATATTGCTCATTTATAGATTTAAGGAAGGCATATGACTGTATAAATAGGCAAATTTTATGGTGTAAATAAGATAGTATTTTAGAATGTAAATTGTTAAATGCTATTAAAAGTCTTTACAATAATGTTATGTGCTCAGTTAGAGTTAATAGTTTTTTAACTGATTGGTTTCATGTTAACACAGGATTGAAACAAGGATGTACCTTGTCACCAATGCTGTTTAATCTTTACATTAATGACCTTGCTACAAAAATAGACTCGTTAAATAAGGGTATTGATATTGATGGTACTAACTGTTCAATTTTGTTGTTTGCTGATGACATAGTTTTGATAACCGATAAACCTGAAAATTTAGAGTGTATTTTGAATGTTTTTAATACTTGGTGTGTTGAAAATAAAATGTGTATTAATATTGACAAATCGAGATTGTTCAGTTTAGAAACCCGTCTGTAAGAAAAAGTGATTTTGTATTTCGATGTGGAGATTCAGAAATTGAGTATGCCTCTCAGTACAGCCTCTCAGTACAAGTACTTAGGTCTTGTTTTGACTGAACATTTAGATTATTCGATCACAGCGAAATGCGTTGCTAAGTCTGCCGGAAGGGCCTTGGGTTTGCTTATAGCGAGGGCACGCTCAGTTGGTGGATTTCCAGCGTTTACCAAACTTTATGATTCAACTATTTTACCAATTATTACATATGGCTCTGGTATATGGGCAACTGAAGACTTTAAATGTATTAATGCAATTCAGCATAGAGCAGCAAGATATTTTTGAACGTTGGTAAATATACTTCAAATGCTGCTGTAAATGGTGATATTGGGTGGCAACCAATGATTTGTAGGGTTAAAAAAACAGTTGTACATTTATGGTCTAGATTAGTTAATATGTCAAGTGAAAGACTAAACAGAAAAGTGTTTGTTTGGTCAAATAATGCAAGTAATAGAAACTGTAAAAATTGGAATTTTAAAGTTGTTAACGTGTTTTTGAAGTATGATTTAAATGAACATGTACATATTAGCAGGTTTGCATCTAAGCATGAAATATGTGGAAAACTTGTTCCAAAATTATATGAAGAATATGTCATGTCATGGCATGCCGATGTTAATGGTGTTAATGCACAGAGAGGAAATGGTAGAAATAAACTTAGGTTTTACCGATTATTCAAAACTTCTTTTCATGTTGAACCATACTGTAAATTAGTGTTAAATAGATCACATAGAGGTGCACTTGCAAAATTTTGTAGTGGAACAGCCCCAATCAATGTTGAGATTGGAAGATATAATAATGTCTTGTTAGAGAATAGAAAGTGTTCTTTTTGTCACAATATTGGATATAATGTAATCGAGGATGAGATGCATGTGTTACTACACTGTCCTTTGTATATTGATTTAAGACAACAGCTCTATTTTAAGGCTTGTCAACATTTTGCTAATTTTGATAGTGTAGATGATGTTGAAAAGATAAGGATACTTCTGAATGAGGAGGCCATTGTTAATTGCTGTGCCAAAACCTGCTTTCAAATGTTAGAAAAGTGTCGTGATAGTTTGTATACTGGGTAATCTTAAACTGTACTATATTTTTTATTGTATATAAACATTGTTTTAGTATATGAACATTGTTTTAGAATATAAACATTGTTTTAGTATATAAACATTGTTTTAGTATATAAACATTGTTTTTATAGTATATAAACATTGTTTTTGCATATGAACATTGTTTTATCTTGCTCTAGAAAACCTTGTTAATAATCCATATAAGATCAGTCATGTGCTTTTACTGTTTAGACCATTTTGTAATGACGAGCATTATAAACTATATTGAGTTTTTTGTTTGTTTTTGTTGTTGTTTTTTTAACGATATTCTAAAATTTAATTTATAAAAATGAGAAACACAAACGATAGATTATCATTCATTAAGATGAGTTTTCTAGGTCATAGTATTTAGAATATGTGTATATATATGGTAAAGAAATTAATATAGTGTAGAACCGTAAAATAAGGAGAGTTTGTTTTTAGTTATACAAATCAATGCCAAGTCATAATTTTGACACACCCACTGTTGTTATAGAACATGAATATTTGGGTCTTCATACAGTTTAGCACAATACAAATTGTAATCTCTGAACTATTTTGTTTATGATTAATTTTTTTCAGCCGTTTTCTATGGGATAGGCAGAGTAGTTTGAATTTTAACTTTACTCAAATATGACATACTTGCCAAGATCTTTGACTTGCCAAAGTTATGATTAAGAACAAACTTAGATGACATTTCATTTCTGTATATGTACATTAAGTGAGTAGTCATTAAAATATGTGATGGAGTTTTTAAGAATGTGAAAATGTATAGTATTTTAATAGTCTCTAGCAAATCAAACATTTGATTGGTTTCATATATGTATGTCATTTGTTTTATCCTGTATTTTATATTGATATATACATATATGTTATTGAGACTTAAATAAATAAATATGTTTTGGTTCATATGTTGCAGTCTTTCCAGATCAGCTGATACTTTGACAAATTGTAGCAAATTTTATTGCCAATATTGGTATTATATGTTACTTGATGCATAACTTTAGTTTTATATTTAAATTAAACTTTTCAGTTAATGGAAATCACCCTTTGTCACAAGTCTCATATCACTTCAATTTTTTACTATCTCAGAAATGGTACAATTATTCATCTTCCTTCATAGATTTCATTATCTGTTCATTTAACATTATCTGTAATCTCTATAACACATTAATTTATTCATGTATGTTATTATTATATATACAGTATTTGAAGGAGGTACAGGAGTATGAAGGTCAGTGTGGGGGTATTGTATTAGATCCATCTACAGGTCAGAACAACCAATATTTCTCTTGTTTCCAACCACACACAATGTCACCTACATATCTAGATATGTACAACAAGAAATCTATGCTTATATTACGTATGTTAGAGGCAAGAATTGGAGCAACACTTTTACTACAGGTATATCTTCCTAAAATATACTATTTTATAATGTTTACACTTACATAGATAGGTCATACAGATATGGTTTTTTTTGGGGTGGCACTAAAAACAGAATAATATGAGTAAAACATACAACACTGCATCTTAATTGCCAAAAATAGTCTAGCTTGTCAATTTATTAACTTTATTCTCTCTCTCCAGGTGGCCAAAAATCATTTATGTAAAATCTTTATGTTGGAAATCTATTTACTAGTGAGCTGTAGGGTTTACATCATTAACAGATTGGCAATTTATATCATCTGTTAAAAAGCTGTTAAAATCGGTTGTGTTTTTAGCTTTTATATTAAATATCATCCATGACCCATTGGGCAAATTGGTTGTTTTCTTTTGGGCATCTATTAGCTGAGATAAAAATGAAAACCCTGGATCTGACAGTTTATGATTACATGTATACAGAAATGTCCACTCATACTAAACTATTTGGAACAGCAACATTTTGTGAGTCATTTCACACAAGTTAAGCTTATTAATGTCAGAATGACTGCAACATTATCAATGATTATTTGTTTCAGGTATTGAACAAGTTACAAGCACTGGCATATACAGCGTCACAACAGAAGTTTGTTTCTAATTCCTGGTCAAATATGCTGCTGTCTACAAACTCTGTATGTTCTATATTATATATCATAATGATGTTTTATATATGTATTTATATAGGATCTAGCATGACTTGTTATGTATTTAGACTTTTTTCTTATCAAATCTAGAGAATTGTTCTAAAGAGAGACTATGTTGAGCTTTAAAAAATTCTGGGACACATGTAATACATGTCTGTATGAAATTAAGAAATGATAACAAACGTAAGATTTTGTTAATTACATTTACATTATATTACAAAGCCAAAATGTCTAAAAATAATAAAATCCATTTTCAATTTATCACCCATTGTCTGTACATGAAAATGATGATAAAGTAATGGTTTATATTATGTGTAATGTTATAGATAAATTGCTTTGAAAGCTAGTGTGATAAAAAAATATATTCACAGAAAGAGTATTTTTGCATTCAGACTTTTTTTTAATGTTTTACATATAATTTGTATTCCTGTTTGTATGACTTCAGGGAATGAATTTTTGTCTACTATTAGCAGTTGATGTAAAATATAACATGACATACATTTAGCACAGGAGCTACAAACCAGAATTTGTCATGCTGTTTTTTGTAGACAATGCCACATGCTGTTATGTTACTTTGTTTCATTTGAAGACTTAAATTAGAGATTATTTTCTCTCATTTTAAATTGCTTGCTTTTGTTTCTTTTCAGTTTTTGAAGATAATTTCCACTGTAACAGGAAAAGATATTCAACCTTTTATAGACCAATGGATGTATCCTTAATGTTTAATAATTATTGTGATTGTTGATTTATGTCAGAGTTTGATATATTTTCTGTAGGTCTTTTTGATATACATGTAGCCATAGAATGCTACTTGTGGTTCCTGAAATAATTAATCTTAAAGTGGTAGAATTAATTTGTTAAGAAAAACTAGAATGTTTTGTTGAACTTCAAACAAAATTGTATTTGCTTTTAAAATGCAAAATTCCATATATGAAAAGGTTGTTGCCATGTCAGTTTTTGGGTGTTTTTTTTTTTTTTGCAAATTGGAGAAATATTTTAACATGTTATTGTCATTATTTATTAAAACATTTCAAAAGATTTTTTCCTTAACTTGCCTCTAGATATCAAAGTGGATGTGCCAGGTTTATTGGAAATTTTGTCTTCAACAGGAAGAGAAATGTTGTAGAACTTGAAATAAAACAAGACCATACAGCTAAAGGTTCCCTCAAATATGTGGTATGATAGTTTATTATCGAATATGCTTCAGGAAAAGAAATACATGTACATATATAAGTAAATATTGGGTATTTCTTTTCAATTTCTTTTTCATGAATTACGAAGAAATTATTTTGTGCATAGATATATTAATTCTAAAAATATTGCATATTTGTAACATCACTCTTAGGAAGTGTGCTATATGAATTATTTATAAAGGTTCTTGACAGATTATATAAATTGTTGTTGTTTTTTTTTAAGGCTATATAACCTGTCAAAAGATTTTTACCGCTAATAATTTATATGTATAAAACTAATTGATTAAAATATATATGTTCTTCATCCCCTCCTTGATTACTTAGTTTAAAATATAAATTGTATACAGTGTATAATGACATTCGATTCACTGTATATATTTTGTTTTAAAACAGGGACCTCTAGAGGTGACCATACAAGAATTAGATGGCTCATTCAATCATACATTTAACATAGAAGAGAACAAGACAAAATTTGAAATAACTTGTCATTCTAAAAGTAGAAGGTATACTGAATTCATTACTTGCATAATTAAGCAATTTTGTAATCTATATAAAGATTAAAGAAACTAAATTATTTGGTCTGATACATAATGTTTTTTTCTAGTCCTATATCTTACCTGACCCGTACATAGAAAAGCTGTACTGTGCTTTTTAACAAGCAAATACATTTATCTTTTGAGTAGTAATAAACTCTGTTTTAGAGATGAATAATTATTCATTGACTTTGAGTATACATGTATACATACCATGGAATACATTTACTTTTTTAAGGTATAATCAATGATTATTGTCAAGCTTCAGTGTGATATACAAATCAAGCTTCAATGTGATTTACAAATTTATTGTCTCATTTAAGTGTGATATAGTTCTGCTATGTTTAATATTAATTATTATACAGGAATAAGAAGAAGAAGATTCCATTAATGACTGGAGAGGAGGTTGATATGGATCTTAGTGCCATGGAGTAAGTATTGTTTTACTTTGTGATATTTATAGAATGCTTTATTTGCTTTACCTAATTCTTTATTTGTAGAAATATTCCATCATTTTTCATCAAATTAACAAATAAATACATAGCTGGGTACAAGATTTCAGGCATTTGCCTGAAGATTAGGTTTTTTTCTACTCTTGAAAGTTCTCTTTTTGTATATTAAAACCAATTTAAAAAATACTAAATTTAGGGTTTTCAGTTTTTCTTATACATGTATTTTGAACTTGCACCCATGTTATAGCAGTAACATATTCAATCTTAAAAGATAATTGTGATATATTTACTTAGGGTTACTGTTTAAGATTTATTTATCAAAACTCTGTTAGAATCATTGGCGTTATGCTTAGTATAAAATTTATGCTTAAATTTCTGGAGAGATTAAAATGATTAGCAAAAAATTATACTTGCTTGAAAAAATGTAGTCATAAATCACCATATTAATGTAAATGAAGCGGGTGTTTTGATGTTCTTTCTCTTTTGTATCATAGTGAAACATAAAAACACGTTCCCTGTTGTCACAATATGAAACCCCAGAAAAAAGTAACCAATGAACTAGCATCTGAATATGATATTTCTATTGCTTCCCCTTTCTCTGCCGTCACAATAAGTAAACCCCAGCAAAAATGAGCCAATCAATGGGCATGTGTGGAGTGCGGGTAACTAATACCTGCACCCCAGTTAACACACTGTGCATGTATATGTATACGATTTAACTCTGACACATTTTCAACAGAAAGGTCCCCAAACTATGATACAATATGGATATATTGTATACCTATTATTACTTATATTTAAATGTATTGTTATATTACAGTGCTGACTCACCGGTATTATGGTTACGTGTAGATAAAGATATGAACTTGTTACGTAGTGTACAGTGGGAACAGCCAGATTATATGTGGCAATATCAGCTGAAATATGAGAGAGATGTAGTAGCTCAGAGTGAGGTAAATCTTATATACTAAACACTTTATACATTGTATGAGAGAGATGTAGTAGCTCAGAGTGAGGTAAATCTTATATACTAAACACTTTATACATTGTATGAGAGAGATGTAGTAGCTCAGAGTGAGGTAAATCTTATATACTGAACACTTTATACATTGTATGAGAGAGATGTAGTAGCTCAAAGTGAGGTAAATCTTATATACTGAACACTTTATACATTGTATGAGAGAGATGTAGTAGCTCAAAGTGAGGTAAATCTTATATACTGAACACTTTATACATTGAATGAGAGAGATGTACGAAGGATGATCAAAATTTATCCGGTTTTTGTAAATGATTCTTTACCTGATAAATGAATTTAAATAAAAATACACGGACAATAAATCGGAATCTTTCCCCTAAATGATTCTAAAAATACCAACAAGAAATATTAACAAAGAAAAAAGTTATACTTTTATTGGCATGTATATGTAAAGCAATGCGGCGCACGGTATATCTAAAAAATTGACGTTAACGACGTCACAAGCGTAATGTCCTTAACAGAGCAGCTTTTTACTCATACACAAAGTAGGCCAATACGTGGTACTCATCTTATCCACTGCCTATATATATATCTGTACAAGTCGGTATCATATTGTATTGTAATAGAACGGATGATGATAAAGAGCTCCTGTAAATACGCAAACTCCCGTTCTTTCCTTCTGTAACTTGATTGCTGGAAAAACCGCAAATGCAATAAACTATATAATGTATTACAAATAATGTTAAATAATGCTGCTGAATGATAATGTATCATACATACGAGAAATAAAAAGAATAATACAACTATAAGAACAGAATTGTCATTATTTTAAAATAAATAAAACGCATAGCTGAATTTGAACCGTGACTGTTAAATTGTTGACACAATTTCTCTATAAGACTACTGCGTAAATTAATAAAATAATTTATACAATTGTAAACCAAAAATACAATTTTTGTACATAATGCATTAACAATTATCATTTTAAAATCCTTAGAGATGACTGCACCGTCCCGTAGCTACTGTCGAACATCACTGACAATGTCCGCAGTCAATCGATTGTCATATTTCAACGTCTCGGCGATTGACGTCACCAACGTCCTTTTCTGTCTCTCCCTAACTTGTTTTCTATTTGTCTATTACCCTTTCTTAATCCTTTATGTTTATCAAAAACTATGCCGTGGCTTACTGGAACATTTCTCTAGTTAGTCATAATCTTTATCTACGTTTTAAACTGTTTCTCGCCTACTTTTGACAAACTTTTCGTATTGATCGATTTCCGAGACGTTCCAACGACATAGTTTTAAGGCGAGTATTTCTTTAACCAGTGACGTTTGAATTGTGATTGCAAATATAAATATGATTTAAATGAAGTCATTTTTTTCTGACACGTCCAAGATATGGTTGATGACGTTTTGGCGTATTTTGAAATCTAAATTAGTCATATTGTAAAATATACGCAGCATTAAGCGCCGGATGACAACGCAAATTTACGCACTGCGCCGGTTGTGCGTTACCATGGTTTTTGAATTCGCTGTAACGGACCAACTAATTGCCTTATCAGATTAGATATAGCATCAGTTTACAGGTATTGTTTTACGATTAAGTGTGATATATAACAATAAGTGATAGGTTGAAAATTCTTCAATTGACAGTCACAGTCCGGTTTATTTTTGATCAGCCCTCGTAGTAGCTCAAAGTGAGGTAAATCTTATATACTGAACACTTTATACATTGTACAAGAGAGATGTAGTAGCTCAGAGTGAGGTAAATCTTATATACTGAACACTTTATACATTGTACAAGAGAGATGTAGTAGCTCAAAGTGAGGTAAATCTTATATACTGAACACTTTATACATTGTATGAGAGAGATGTAGTAGCTCAGGGTGAGGTAAATCTTATATACTGAACACTTTATACATTGTATGAGAGAGATGTAGTAGCTCAAAGTGAGGTAAATCTTATATATACTGAACACTTTATACATTGTATGAGAGAGATGTAGTAGCTCAAGTGAGGTAAATCTTATATACTGAACACTTTATACATTGTACAAGAGAGATGTAGTAGCTCAGGGTGAGGTAAATCTTATATACTGAACACTTTATACATTGTACAAGAGAGATGTAGTAGCTCAGAGTGAGGTAAATCTTATATACTGAACACTTTATACATTGTATGAGAGAGATGTAGTAGCTCAGAGTGAGGTGAATCTTATATACTGAACACTTTATACATTGTATGAGAGAGATGTAGTAGCTCAGAGTGAGGTAAATCTTATATACTGAACACTTTATACATTGTATGAGAGAGATGTAGTAGCTCAGAGTGAGGTAAATCTTATATACTGAACACTTTATACATTGTACCAGAGAGATGTAGTAGCTCAGGGTGAGGTAAATCTTATATACTGAACACTTTATACATTGTATGAGAGAGATGTAGTAGCTCAGAGTGAGGTAAATCTTATATACTGAACACTTTATACATTGTATGAGAGAGATGTAGTAGTTAAGAGTGAGGTAAATCTTATATACTGAACACTTTATACATTGTAAAAGAAAGATGTAGTAGCTCAGAGTGAGGTAAATCTTATATACTGAACACTTTATACATTGTATGAGAGAGATGTAGTAGTTCAGAGTGAGGTAAATCTTATATACTGAACACTTTATACATTGTATGAGAGAGATGTAGTAGCTCAAAGTGAGGTAAATCTTATATACTGAACACTTTATACATTGTATGAGAGAGATGTAGTAGCTCAGGGTGAGGTAAATCTTATATACTGAACACTTTATACATTGTATGAGAGAGATGTAGTAGCTCAAAGTGAGGTAAATCTTATATACTGAACACTTTATACATTGTATGAGAGAGATGTAGTAGCTCAAAGTGAGGTAAATCTTATATACTGAACACTTTATACATTGTATGAGAGAGATGTAGTAGCTCAGGGTGAGGTAAATCTTATATACACTGTTAACAATATGTAATGATGATTGAAAAGATTATAATGAAGTAAATAAGAAATAACATATTGTTAAAATCTCATCTTAAATTTAATTTGCAATTGCATGTAAATGTTTTTAAGTTACATAAGATAAGTGTTTGAAGTAATAAAAAATTAAGATGATCTTGAAATCTACTTTAAGATTTAATTTGTAACTTAATGTCTTGTGTGATGTTGCAAAATATAAATTTACAAAATATTGGGTTTTCCTCTCTAAGACAAATGTTTCAGGTAAGTATTTTGTTTCTTATGAGTGATACTGCTGTGGTCATGTTACCATGAAAATGTTAGTCATAAATGATTGTTTTAATATGTGATAAAAGTTTGAAGGTTTATTTTAAATGCACTTTATGTACCAAATTTTAAACTGTTAACTTTGCAAGGACTTGACAGACATACTTATGTTACATAAACTATGTATATTACAATACTTCAGGCAATCCAAGCATTACGACTGTTTGCTACACCAGCTACAAGAAAAGCTTTGACGGATGTATTGGAGTGTGAACAGAGTTATTATAAAGTGAGGATAGAATCCAGTATGTGTCTAGCTAAGGTAAATAAATCTGTACAATTCAATAAAATACAGACAGAATATTTTCAATTGACTTGGCTTAAATTAGGTGTAAATTTCAATTGTGATTAAAGATAATGACTCTCTAACATTTGTAGTGTAAAATATAGATATTAAAGAAAAACAAGTGAATCGTAAGAAAGAAGTTAGTCTTAATTTTTGTTACCAATTTTATATTGTCAGGCAATGATTAGAATTTCTTCTTCTTTTTTCTTTTTATTTGGTATGCTTGTATATTTTCTATTGAATTTATCACCATTTAGTGAATATTTTCTATTGAATTCATCACCATTTAGTGAATATTTTCTATTGAATTCATCAATATTTATTGAATATTTTCCATTGAATTCATCAATATTTAGTTTCTCTATCTCATACATTTGTAAGTAACCAGACAGTTGTGAATATTTCAGGTAGCTAACACAATGGTTACATCCTGGGCTGGTCCACCAGCTATGTTGAACATATTCAGGAAAATGTTTGGCTCACACTCTTGTCCTAGCATTGTTAGACAGAATAACTTCAGCAACTTCCAGCAATATTTTATACTGAAGGTAAGTTTAAGTCTGTAATAAATTAACCCACGCAGAGCACTACTGGTAGATTAAAAGTTTGAAATGTGTGTATTTCAACGACAAGTTCATGTGTTAATTATATATTGGCCATTTATTCTCCATTACTGATACATGTACAAGAAGTTGATGCAATTAATAGCTGGTACAATATCTGTATCATCACAAGAATGAGGGATCCCATTCTAGGTTATTTGATTAAAGTTGAATACTGGTTAGATAAAATTTTAACTGAATGAATCAAATTTGTCATAATTCATACAAGTTTTTGTTAACAGTGATAAAGATGCTGATATCTAAAGGTTGCTGTTGTTATGTTCAAGTATGATCAAGGTAGTCTATAATTTTCCTATAGATACTTGTTATTTTTATTTGCAGGCAATCCCCATGGCGATGGCACAGTTAAGAAACATGCACAACATCTGTCCACCAGAGGTTGTTAGATTTCTACTGGATCTTTTCAAATATAATGACAACAGTAAAAATAAGGTAATTTATACAAAACTTAATTTTATACAATCTTATTTATGGAGATAACTAATTAAAAATATACTATACTTATACTATATATATATCTTTAGGTAAAATATTTTTATCTTAGATATGTATTGAAATCCATGAAATTTTTACTGAATATGTTTAAAAAGCTGCATTCCCTATTATGGGTCAAGTTAAGTTGGTCTTTTTTCAAAAAAAATGCCAGTTTTTTTTTATGACACTATATATTTATATTGTGACCACCTATAGTGTGTAGAATTCTAAACATAACATATCTACTTTAAATGAAGTCGAAACATGTTTATTTTATACATACAAAGAGACTGTGTAGCAATTATTAACGTTTTTAAAAATCTAATTTGAGCATAGTATATCTTTAACTATTCACATTCTTAACAAACTTGAACATCAGCAACAAATTGTATATGTGAAAATGAATTGATTTGTAGGTTAAATATTACATATTGATTCCTTTGAGTACAACAAACTATCCTGAGAGATATGCTGTTAAGAATTAATCTTATAAACGACTTTGTCTCGAAGCTTATAGTCAACAAAACTAAAATAGACTGCATATTTGTGCATGTATATATTACAGTATTCAGACAATTACTATAGAGCAGCATTAGTTGATGCCCTGGCAGCTACAGTAACACCTGCTGTAACCACGGTTACCATTACTGGGTAATACAATATTTGTCTGTTTTATCTCACTTTCTAACTAAAAAAATACATGACTTGTTTGGAATTCAAACTGACCTATGTTATTTTCTTGGAAATTCAATATTAGAATTGAGCACAGGCAGTTAAGAGACTGGTTTATCCCTATATTGGCAACTAATGATTGCAATTAATGCAATTAGCATTCTTAGAGCAGTTACAATACATAATAAAAGCTGTACAGAGAGCTGTTTGAAAATCAACTGCTTACATCATATCACTTACCTATGCTGTTAACCATATATGATAAATATTGTTGAGTGTTGTTTAATTATATTAAAGTCACATATGTGTACCTAATCTGTAAAGAAAAGCAAAATTCAGGGTATAATTTACTAAGTCCGGATGTAGTGTTTAAGTAATTTTTATTATTTGGTAATATCTGTTGTTTCATAAACTCATTATCCATTACTTCTAGGATACATATTTATTATCAAGACACCAACATTACTTGTGTATATTTCAGTCAAAGTGTTAATTCTGACTTATCATCGGACACTAAGGCTATATTAGATGAGATAACACGATGTCTGAATGTGGAGAAATTACTGTCATGTTACAGGCATACTGTCACTGTCAGGTTAGTATCTACACGTTTCTTTTCTTTCGCTGTAGTTAAATTCTAATTATTTCTGTGTAACAAAAAATGAAGTTCTAAAGTAAGCAATATATTCTGTAAATGCAAAAACGCATATATGATCTTTTAGAATCATTTCTGTAAACTCAGATTTAGAAATATTACAGTTAAGTAAAAGTGGTATACAATTTAGACAAACTTTGTCAATATTTCAGTTGTATAAGGCAATGATTCGTGTTACAAAATTTGACATTTGCAATTATCCATGTTATATTAGAATTACGCCCAGCTTATAGTCAAAGATAAGCATTGCAATTAGAATCTCTTGTTAGTTACAAAAGTATGTCATTTTAATTAGTTCTTTTATCCAGTATGACATGGTCTTTTCATTAAGCTCAATAGGGAGAGCATTTGATTACTTATACAGGCCTTGAGGTTATAAAACTTTTTTTCTGAGTCTCTTCTCAAATCTCAGGATTTTCATTGGTCAGTAATTATTTTGTGGCAGTTTCCAACCAATCAAATACCTGAGGTCTGAGTTTAAGCTTAAATAATTCTCTAAAACCTCAGACCTAGGAGTTGCTGATTTTGATCCTCAGGTGAGATGTAATCCTGTGTTAATTGATCTTGAGCATTGTGTCTAATAGTCAGCTGTCTCACTCATGACTTACAAATAATGTGAGATTAGTAGCTAGTCACTAGTAGAGAAATTGATAATTACTGGTCATATATCCAGGAAAGGCGGTAAAACCAGAGAAACAATCTGTATGATATAACTGCAATAATCTACTTAGTATATACATGTATGTTGTACTTACTCAGTAATATTTAGTTGGCATGCCCTTCATTAGAGTTATTTCTAAAATAATGTAATTTGAGTAAATTTCAAGATATACATAAGAAAAAGAAGAGTGTTAAACATTCGTAACTTTATAACTCCAAAAAACTTTATAACTCCATTATTGATGCTAAGTAAATCAAATAAGAAAATTTGATCTGCCACAACAAACAGATAACCTATTTATAATCAACATGCATATAGTGCACAGTAGCAACAGTTTTAATATATTTGTAATATTCTAGCTGATGTGAATGTGTCAGAACTGTACTGGTTACTGGAAGTGGTTGAAAAAGACCCAGACATATATGTCAGGTATATTATTGCTTTGATATTCTATATCATGAACTATTACAGCTAATTCATTGAGTATTTCAATATGTCTAGAAGAATGTGCTATTATAGATGATATTTTTGTATAAATGTAGAGTGATAGTGTATGTTGTAAATTTATACACTTGATCACATTATCACGGACTCCACTGAGTATTCTTGACATGATGGTTATAAAATTTTAATTAACTATCTAATGAAATATTGGTGTACAGGTCAGGCTTGGGAGATATTAAAGTAAACAGATTTTTGTCTGAACTATGTACTTGAGGGGGGTAAAGGAAAAATTTAGGGTTTTCTCATATTTGTTTTGTAAATGTTACATAAATTGTTATTAGAAATAAAGTCTAATAAACATACTGTAACAGAGTCTAGGAAAAAATTTAAGTGTTGACCGAGGGAAAGCGTTCTTGGATAAGGATATTGTAAGTCATCATGGAAATTGATAATGCATGTTAAATTATTTTGATCATATTAATATGCCAATAAACATGAAAATGGCAAAAATCACCACCTGTTAACTTAACATATGGTTGATCACATCATGGTATTTTAAAAATGTATTTCTGTTAAATATATTCTGTGCAGTATTATTTATATTAATTTGTAAAGTTTTATTTGTTATATATGCATGTATATTTGAGAATGATGTACTTGTATTTACAGTTATGAGACAATACAAATGTTAAGTAATAACCCACCATTTAAAAGAGGAGAGGACAGTCTACTGAACACTGAAGCTCTTGTTAACAGACTCTGGAAACTTATCAAGTATATTATTAAAATATGTTAAAAATTCTTATTTTATGGTCTCAGTTGTAGATTTAAAAATATCTTGTACTTAGCTGCTGCAAAAGATAAATGTATTCTGTTTTATTGTAACATGACACTGATTTTTTATAACATGTAATATAATATTTTGTGTTAAAATAGGTCAAAATGTCAGCATCTAAATTACAATTACTGAATATTAAGATATTATAAATCTTGGATATTTTGGAGTATAGTTCATTTCTGCTTTGATATATATATGTTCCACTGATTATATTACATAAAGTGCCATTTGTAGAAAGTTTGTTATTTTTAGAAAATATTTGATATTGTATAAATAAGCAATCAGTGACTGTTAATTTAGTAACATGTATGATATATATTGTAGTTGTACATTGTCACATGATGCCAAGTTACGATGTGGAGTTGCTGATTTTTACTTCGCTATGTTTGGACGATACAGACCAGCCTGTCTACATGTTCCAGATGTTAGTATATTTATAAATCTTCAATCTTTTTGTTACTTGAAAACGTCTTAATAGGTCAGGAATGCCAGACAGATACAAGATATGTTTCTAGACTGAACATGATTTATCTTACAATGTTTCTTGTATGATTAAAATGTTTAAGGGATTTATCATGTTAAGTGGATAACTTGCCAAAAGCCATCATTTTAGATAAGTATCTTTTAAAGGTTTAAAAGATTTAAAAATTAATAAGTTTCATATTTTAGTTAATAGAAAACTGTGGAAACAGTAGCTGTTATTAAATAAGCATTTCTTTTCTCATCCTTCAAAGAGCAACACATATGTTGGAGAAAATAAATGTGTATAAAAAGGAAGTTAATATTTTTCAGAGTTTTATTGTGTTCAACATGAACGAGAAGAAGAAACCTGCCATGATAAATCCGGCCATAGTATCAGAACAAATGACTGATATGTTTGAGGAGGATGAGGACGACTTGCCATCTATGATCTCAACACATGTGCCTACACCTGTAATGTAAGTTCATGTACATAATCTCAACACATGTGCCTACACATGTAATGTTAGTACATAAACATAATCTCAACACATGTGCCTACACCAGTAATGTAAGTACATGTACATAATCTCAACACATGTGCCTACACATGTAATGTTAGTACATAAACATAATCTCAACACATGTGCCTACACCAGTAATGTTAGTACATAAACATAATCTCAACACATGTGCCTACACCTGTAATGTAAGTTCATGTACATAATCTCAACACATGTGCCTACACCTGTAATGTAAGTTCATGAACATAATCTCAACACATGTGCCTACACCAGTATTGTAAGTTCATGTACATAATCTAAACACATGTGCCTACACCTGTAATGTAAGTTCATGTATATAATCTCAACACATGTGCCTACACCTATAATGTAAGTTCATGTACATAATCTCAACACATGTGCCTACACCTATAATGTAAGTTCATGTACATAATCTCAAAACATGTGCCTACACATGTAATGTTAGTACATGTAACATAATCTCAACACATGGCCTACACCTGTAATGTAAGTTCATGTATATAATCTCAACACATGTGCCTACACCTATAATGTAAGTTCATGTACATAATCTCAACACATGTGCCTACACCTGTAAATGTTAAGTTCATGTACATAATCTCAACACATGTGCATACACATGTAATGTTAGTACATTAAACATAATCTCAACACATGTGCCTACACCTGTAATGTTAGTTCATGTACATAATCTCAACACATGAGCCTACACCTGTAATGTAAGTTCATGTACATAATCTCAACACATGTGCCTACACCTGTAATGTTAAGTTAATGAACATAATCTCAACACATGTGCCTACACCAGTATTGTAAGTTCATGTACATAATCTAAACACATGTGCCTACACCTGTAATGTAAGTTCATGTATATAATCTCAACACATGGGCCTACACCTGTAATGTTAGTACATGTAACATAATCTCAACACATGTGCCTACACCTGTAATGTAAGTTCATGTACATAATCTCAACATATGTGCCTACAGCTGTAATGTTAGTACATTAACATAATCTCAACACATGGGCCTACACCTGTAATGTAAGTTCATGTATATAATCTCAACACATGTGCCTACACCTGTAATGTAAGTTCATGTATATAATCTCAACACATGTGCCTACACCTGTAAAGTAAGTTCATCTATATAATCTCAACACATGTGCCTACACCTGTTATGTAAGTTCATGTATATAATCAAAGCACATGTGCCTACACCTGTAATGTAAGTTCATGTACATAATTTCAACACATGTGCCTACACCTGTAATGTTAGTACATAAACATAATCTCAACACATGTGCCTACACCTGTAATGTAAGTTCATGTACATAATCTCAACACATGTGCCTACACCTGTAATGTTAGTACATAAACATAATCTCAACACATGTGCCTACACCAGTAATGTAAGTACATTTGTACATGTATATAATCTGACATTAATACATGCTCCAACACCTGTAAAGAATGTATATATATCTGATCTCGATACATCAGTGTCACTTTTACATAAGTAAATGACCAATGAAAATTGCTTGGAATTTTAACTTTAAAAAAAAAAACCAATTTAATACTCCTTACTGTGCTTGAAGATATTAACTAACCAGAGTTTAACTATTTTTGTGTATGCTGATAAATACTGAATTTCTTCTCTGACGATATAAAGCGTTATTGAAAAGTTGGTATTTTGCTCACTTGGAATACCAGCATTTTCAACGTCATATCTTCTAGATTAAGAGAACATTAATTACACAAATTGACATGTAAATCTATGGTAATGAAAACTATACCTTGTTTTATATGTTACAGACCCAAAGATGAGTCAATTATTGTGGATGTAGAAAGTAACAGCCCTATAAAGGAACCTATCAGACCTATGATAGAGAAACCTACCAGTATACCAGCCTTCATGGGTATGCACAGTAGGTCCGAATCTCCTCAGGCACCATTGTTCCCCCAGGGTATTAAACGTAGGGCAGAGTCCCCACCTCCTGCTCCCCCACCAAAACTTCCCACACTGGTTAAACAGGAGAGTGCTAGTGGGGAGGACAGCAATTCATTCAAGCTGAAAATTAAGGTATTCTTAATCAACTGTTATCACAGTAAAACTTGTTTACTTTTCTATATATACCAAGTTACTTTATCTGATACAGTTACCAAGATAGTAACAAATGTTTATGTTGTACATATTTATGAGTGAAAGCCCTGTGTATACATTTTCTGTTAGAATCAATTTTGTTTTGTTTAAATATAAAATTAGGATATCATGTAGGGATATTTATGGACTGGAGTATTGAAATATACAGTCACGTGGCAGTAAAAATACAAACCAAAAATTGGTAAATTACAAAACTAAAATCTGTCTAGAATGGTTTCCATGGTATTCATAGAATTCCAGGTGATGCTGATATATGAAATGACTAAAAACTTAACTTGTCTGAGAAAATAAATGAAAACAATGCTTACGGTTATTCATTGCCTGAAAGCACTGTAACATAAGCCTAGATATTTATAATGTTAATAACATTCTATATAATATATAGATCTCTAATGCTGTATTATTTTGTTAACTATAACTATTTTTTGTATAAATAAAGGAAAAGGTGAGTAAAATGTACAATGATCCTGCATGTGAAGAGCTGTACCCAGATAAAAATGAGTATATTGCATGATTTAAACTGGGGTCAAAGGTTTCTGCTATATATTGATGTAGCTTTCATGTATATAGTGGGTATGCATCAAACCTGCATGCTTGAAGGAAGAGCTTGCTTATGGAAATCTATTTTTGTATTTATTTACAGCAGTGAAAGAATATGATATGTGTGAAAAGAAAACCTGGATTTATTTCCTTTGCATACTGTTTTTGATCAGACATTATCAGTACCTTTCATTTATTCAGCTAATGTACCTCCCTGGCCTTTTTTTTCTCTGTAAAACAAATAAATGACATAGTGCAGCACTATATTATCTTCTTGTTTCACTCAGTTATTTCCTGTATTCACATTTTGGCTTTTTAAAGCAGCATGCCTCCAGATTCATGCTAATTTTCAGGAAAAAAATATATATTTTAAAAGAGTAAAATTTTGTCAAATGAACGAAAAAGTAATTAACACATTGCAGACAGCACATTAAATCTATGAAATTGCCCAACATAGGTCAGAATATGCACAAAAAACCTAACTGTGACAGACACACAGTAAAAATGTAGTATTAAATACTTAAAACAGTAGTCATCAATTGCATAAAACATGTATATTATTTCTTGGATTCTGTTCTTTAAACTTTTTTTATCAAGTTTGATTTTCTTGAAATATATTGGCTCATCTGAAGGCATGCAGCCTTAAATGTCAAATGTCGAAGATGGATACCGGTACACATTTTTTTAACATTGACAATTCAAAGAATACAAGAGCTATCCTGCAACATTTTTTTTCATTTTGTGCTTAAACTATCCACTTTAAACTGCATTCAAGGAGTCATAATTGTAAGTCTACTGGGATCCTACATATTTACCGGCAATCAGTTTACCGGACACAATCGATTGTTGTCTAATATTGCTTTATTTTTGTTTCAAATCAAAAGCCATCCGGTCTGAATTGCACACACACTTTCAATTTCGAAGTACATGTAAATAACAACAAGACCACTCTCATGTACATATCGTTGATTCAGTTTTTTATTTAATTACATGCCCTTTTGTTTACTATTTTATTTCATACCTGGTCATGCCAGAGACATAGATAACATGTTATCTATGTCTCTGGTCATGCGGGGGAGTTATGTGTTTTGCGTATGCACGAATATTGAGGCCCTGAATGGACTATTTAAGACAGGTTTTACTATTATATCTTCTCTGCATTATCTTAGCAAGACAATCATACCATATTTTAATAATAAAAAGTATATCCAAATTTAATCCAGACAGTATTCTTTGTTGTATTTTATAGGGAAATGCAAAGTAAAAACCACATTAGGAAACAGGTCACGCCCGGTTTTTCAAACCAAGAGTGAAACTCTTTATGAAATGTAAATAAAATATATTGTCTGGATTTCACTTGCTTCACGATGACCAAAATGAAATTGTATGACAAAGAACAGAATTACAAATGAATATCAAAATTTACGTTTACTGATTTATGATGAATCAATACGATAATTGAGTTAATATTGTGAATGTCCATTACATCCCATATATAGGCCTCTTCGAAACAAGCATGGATACTGTGTCTATTTTAGTGACATCTTTGGGTTTTCCAGTATCTTAACCTTGCCATTCAATTGGAGTATTCTCCTTGTAGATTATTAAAAGATTAATTTCAATTCACGACTTCAAAATATTATGAAACACAATGTCCGGTAAATTGAGTTTTCTACACGATTTTTTTTCTATAATAATGCCCCACTTTGAAGACACATTTTATGGTCAAAATGTTAAATTTCGTGTTTGATAAGGTCAGTTTTACGTGAATTAGGAACCCAAAATCAATTGGGTAAAATTTCAGTGTTTTTCATGGTTTTTAATAAAAGTTACAGCGAAAAATCTTCATATTTTGTCCGGTAATATGTAGGACCCCAGTATGTATAAGATTCAAAACCCTAGCATTTTTTTACTGATTTAAACTGGCCAATGTTTTAGATCCATGCTAAGCAATGGTGTTTCCTTTTCACTTGATGTTACAATCTTGTTATGACAGTCAATTTTTTATACAAATTTATATACTGAACCAAAAAAGAAACTTTCGCAAAGTATGTGCCAGTTGTTCAAGGGTACCACTTAGATGTACACACTTATATACATGTAGTAGCTTGTAAAACTCGTTTTGTTTGCAAAATCGGTCAGCTAATCCCCGTTTAAAAGCCCGATATGTTTATTCAATGTAAAAATCGAGTTTCAAAAGGATTGAAAAACTGTACTAACATATCTACATTCAAACTTGGAGAAAGTTTCTTTTTTGTTTCAATATATATAGAATCATCTCTTGCACACTATTTCTCCCTGACAATTTGCTGTAAAACTTTGCTTGTCTGGACCTTGTCATACTGACCAATACCCTCTCTCTAGCTACAAGCTAGGATTAGAACATTTCTATCCTCTTGTACACATGATACATTCACATCCTTGACATCATGATCAACTGTTTTATTCTATAGAACAATTGACAAGAAAGTATCATACTTTGTTAGAATAATTTAGTATAAGTTGTTTATTATACTTACAAATATATTTTGTAATGAATATTATGATTTAATATTATGTAAATATATTAATAAGGTATTGCACCATTATTATATATGTATATCTTAACTAAAACTATGTCATATGGTTATGAAATAGCTATTAATTTCTGCATGAATATCTAAAATGTAAATAGATTACTTGTTGTGTAAGTGACCCTAATTCAGTAATTGTGTTACCTCATACTGTATGGTTAGGTTATTTATTTTTCTGTCATAAAATTTCTTGAATTTGTTTGTATTATTATTCTATGTTGGTATTTCATAGCATGACATAGTGTATGTGTTATAACCAGAGGCTTGTATGAAAAAGGAGAAACAAAGGAAGGTTTGAGAAACCATTCACCCTTAAACCGCTGAATTTATGTGATTGGTTTACCTGTAATCGGTTTACCCTGCATTTGATTTAGAACAGTCTTTTCAAAGTTTTAAATCTTGTCAAATATTATAAGATAAGACCTTGAGTATACATGTAATGATACTTCATTATAATTAATGATAATAAGTAATATGATATAATTATGTAGTTTGTGGTAACTAGAATAAAGTATTGTGTATTGCATGATGTGATTGTGTTGATTGTAGGGTTATGCTGATTGTTATCTTTAAATATTTATAATTAATAAAAATTCAGTATCAAACAAAACATAATTATGAAATTGTTACAGTGCTGTTGTTACATAATAAAAATATAGAAGTCTTATGTTGAGGTGACAACTTTAACATAATTTAGAAATATTTCATTCTGAGATTTCTGTCTTTTCATTATTTTACCCTTTACCTAGCTGTACCAAAAATGAAGAGTTTTTGCCACCAGTATATATATGACTGTATCTTGATATCTCTAAAATTTGATAATGGACAGTCCCAAAAATAGGAGCAGGGCAAGTCCATTTAAGAAGTTCAGCAGGTTAAGGGTGAAACAAATAAAAGATGGAATATTGTTTAGTAATTTAGTAGAGATTATTACAGCATGATATATATATTGTTGTATTGTATGTATTGTTGTACAGCTTGGGAACCGTAACAGCGTGGAGGACAGGAACCAGTACATCTCACAACCATCTGTAACCATGGTAACTAACAGTGAACTACTACCACCAGTATTATACCCAGAATTCCTTAGATTTGCACGGGTACACATATACTAACATTTAATCTTATACTATAAGTGTTCAAAACTTTATAGTCCTTGTTGTTCTATATTTAAATTCCATTTCATTTTTGTGTCACAATCAATTTTATTAAGTGTTGTGAAAATTTGAAAAATAAAAATTCAGAAATACAACATTTAAGTTATATGTTAATATGTGTGACTCTTTGATTAATGATAAAAAACAAACATGAATTAGTTCAGGTGCAGATAGGTTGACAATATTTTATAAATAAATTACACTTGTAAGACTCAGATGATTTTAGAAAAAAATAAAAATCTGCCAATTCTGTCCAGTAAAGTTTTGATTACTTGTTTGTTTTCATATAAAAGATTCTTTAAGAAATTTAGATAATGAAATACTCCCTTGAATCGACAAGTCAAGGGTAGTTTTCTATTCTTGTTTAACTTCTGGAGAAGACAGGTATGTGTGGACTCCAGTATCTATGGCGCTTTGCATGATTTTTGTTGCTATAATAGATCACTTAATCACATATTCAGTATTTATTTTCTAACTGTCTGTAGCTCAGCTTTGACTTTAAACTGCATGCACATTACTCTAGTTCTATCAAGTTTATATTCTGTACAAACTCTGAAAAATAGATTTTTGTGACAATTTTATTCTACTCTCTTCAATTATGTACATTCTACAATTTTATCCTGCAGAAAATTGTATTGAAATAAATTGCCTGGTCTGTGCTTGCTTTACAAGAGCCAGTTTTCTTGTTTCATTATAGTGAAAATATTTCTTTCTTTCAAACCAGGTCTACTCTAGGTCATGATTTTAAAGCCTTAACAAATTTAATCAAAGATATGTAAGTTTTACAGATTGAATTTATAAACAAGTTGTATGGAAAGTGTATCATAAATAAGCATAGGATTAATCTCTGTTTATATATTTAGGACAGTAAATGTTAAACATTGTAGTGTAGAAATACAATAATTTAACTGAAATTATCAGAAATTTTCCATTATGAGTAACCATATTAACTGTTAAGCTCTATAGGGAGATTTTAAGGGGCCATTATATTTTTGTTCATTTACAAATGACATGTCCTCAATTATTCATAATTTTTAATGTGCTTTATAATTCATTGAGCTTTAATATACATGTAGGATATTTTATGTTGAAAAAATGTAAGGAGTTTCAAATAATGATAATAAACAATATTAGATATATTATAATGTGAATGTATATTTGAGCCGCGCCATGACATATCCAACATAATGCGTTTGCGACCAGCATGGATCCAGACCCTATAACAAGTAGTAAAACTGATAGCGAACAGCATGGATTCTGTTTAGACTGCGCGGATGCGCAGTCTGGTCTGGATCCATGCTGGTTGCAAACCCATTTTGTTGGTTTTGTCGTGACGCGGCTCATTTTATAATAGATACCAGAGGAGCCAAGCCAGACATCTAGACCAACCAAGTCGGAGATTCCAAACTTATCAGTACTGGGTGGAGACAGCCAGAGCCGGCTAAGTGAAGACTCGAACTCCTCACAGGAAGATTCCTCCTTGTCTAGACCAGTACCACTTACAGGTCTGAATTGGTTTAAATCTTGTGTTAATTTAAAAGTGATATTGATATTATTTAAAAAGCTTCACAAATGTTAAGTTCAGTGTTGCACATATAAAATCATCACAATGTTGTTACATATCATTTACTTAAGATTATTTGGCTTGCATTTATGAAAAGCTAATCAGGTGGTGGCAATTCTTGTTATTAATTGCATTTTTGTCATTGTTTTTTAGGAATCTTATTACATACATTTTTGGGGCATGTGTGGCCGAGTCATTAACTTCAAACCACTTGCTCCTTACTGCTGTTGGTTCCAATCCCAACAGAGATGAGGATTCTTTATGTGAGGAAGCTATCTAGCTTGCTTATTTAATTTTGGTGGTTTTACTCAGGTGCCCGTTTGTGCCTGAAATAATTTGTGGGGAACGGCACCTGAGGTCTTCTTCTACCAGTAAAGTTGACATATGACCTAAACTGTGTTGGTGCAACTTAAAATTAAAATATAATATATATTTCAGGAAAGACAGAGGGACCAACATCATTTCATGGTATATTTTCATCTAGCAGTAGTACTGTACCTACTGTATCAGACTCGGTTACCATAGCAACTACAGAAACTGACCCTAATAAACATCATAAACTGAAAAAGAAGAAGAAGAAAAACAAGCATAAACACAAGCACAAACATAAACATGACAGACATGAGAAGGATCGAACCCGGGACAGTAAGGACAGATTTAGTGTGACTGGGGTGTCCAGTCCCATGGTGCCATCTGTACAGTCTGTGACCTCTATGTCATCTATAGATAATACCAGAGACTCAGCACCTAGTTCCCCGGAGTTTGAAGTTATTTGAAGTGTTGCATAGTGATACTGTAACAGTCTTAATTTTAATGCAACTACTGTTCTACATAGAATAATGAACAACTGATGTCCGTAGCAGCTTGTCGAGCACAAGGCTTCTTTTCCATTCATGAATGAATACACAGGTTTAACAGTATTTAATGCTTGTGTCTATAATGAATTATGTCATCAGTAAAGAGACAGGCCTGGTTGCATTTTATGTGAGACTCTTGCCTATCAAAGTTCCTTAAATTAATGAAATGTTCTTAATTTAGAATAAGATCAGTTCATTTCGCAAATTAATTATGGTTAGGGTAAATCTACTTGAAGTAGATTCATGTATCAATTTTGAGTTTGTTGTTTGCACATTTCAAGAAGTATAATCATGAAAAGCCCATTAGGCCTTTGTGTTTAATTACAAAGCATTTGAACAATAAATCATGCACTACAAGGCAAGAAAAAGTGATGATTATATTTCAATTTTCACATGTTAATAAAAAGAATATGATATGTTGAACTACATAATAAGTAACTTTGATCAGAGATGCTATTTTTGTAATGTAATTTTACGTCACGTCAAAATATATGCAAGGCCGTGCAATACCATTTATTCTAACACGACCCGCATTTTTCCCTATTGAACATAGAAGAACCGAAAGTGTGTATTATTATGCAACAAAATCACTGTTGACGTTCTTTTTTTAGACTTGTGACGTAATCATTATATACATGTGACGTAACCATTAAAAAAGCGACGTGCTGAAAATAAGTACAGAAACAAATCAGGTGCAATTTAGCTTATTATAAGGTACGACAAGATTTATTGTTAATGTCGTGTTAGAATCGAAATAATATATCCAAATCGGTTATTTTATCGCTTGATAACATCACTGTTTGTCGTTCGGATACGCATCATTATATCACTCGGGCTACGCCCTCGTGATATACTTCCTTGCATCTGAACTCCAAACAGTGATGTTATTGAGCGATAAAATCACTGTTTGGGATATATTATTTCTTAAACGGAGTCGCCAAATCGGCACAGGTGTGTGATAAATGATGTTATTGAATAATTAATGCTTAAATTACTGGTTATTGCAACTTTATGAAACAATATTAGTGTTTGATGGAAAAAGAGGTTAAATTATCATCACAATGACATGTCATGGTCACTTATCTATGTTTGTATGTAAGACCTGATACAAAATACTACAAAATATGTGCTGTATGTTGTATGAATTAATGTATAAATTAATGTACATGATTTTAACATGGAATTAAAGAAAAATTGTCAACACATATATTTTGTTTGAATCATTTATTGAATTAATAATATTCTTTTATATATGTAACAAGTTATCATACAATTTCATGAAAAAAAAACATATATATTGTTTGGTTTTATTAACCTGTCAATTACATACTGATTACACGGTTGATGCACACAATATATTAATCTTCGGTAGATATTCGGTAAGTTCCGTGAGATGTAAGCTGTACGATGGAATTGTATCTCTAAACAAGGTGTACTCAGCGTTATAGCGCAATAGGGTAAATCACGAGCTTATAATCCAAGTGCCACACGTGTTTTAAGTTTGAGGTTGCGTTGGTCCATTTTTTTTCTTATTAATACTTTCAACATTATTGAATCTATATATGATTATTTTATGTTGTTCGTTTTTTTATTATGTTTTACTTAATTTTGTTATGTATATACTCTTTTTAAATAACATGTTTTTTAAGAATTCATGTTTAAAATTAAAACGGATTAAAATCAATAAATGTCTTTTCAATGCCGTAAAACACACTACAAATCTGTTCCATTAAAATATACTGCAAAAATAAAGAAAGAGTACTAAAACAATGGCAACAGTAAGGATCGAACCACAGACCTCTCAATTATCAGGCATTCTCTTTACCGACTGTCCTATTGTGAATTAACGAAAACCTTCACATTAAGCTGGCGTGACTTTCAATCCATGACTAATATACTCCACATTAATTCTCGTAAACTACACGGACCAAACCGAAGTGGGATCGAATATTTAAATGAGTCCTATAATGTATTCATAATTGACAGGTCAATAAAATCAGACTATAACATAAACAAAATGTATACAACACAAATGTGATTTGCCTAGAAATATTAGAATATTCTAGATTTTTTGTTTTATTTCATGGATAAATCACCTGCTAGTGGTAATTTGTTAAAAATATACTATGCTGATATTTGAGTAAAAAAAAATACTTAAGAAATTTGTTGAAAACTATGAAATTCTTACTGAATATGTCGAATTTGGATTAAAGAATGAACAAGCTATGTATGAGAAGCTGTAGGAGAAGTAAATTTGGTCTTTGCTTAATAAAACTGCCAGTATTTAATGCTGAAACTATAAGAGATATCAACATGAAACTTTGTAAGTAGATAGATCTCAATGGGTAGAAGAGCAGTGCAATAGAACAATAACTCTGCCTTGCCTAATTTTAGAGTTATTGCCCTTTGTTCATTTTAGCCTTTGAAATTTTTCCAGGACATAGCTCTGAAATCAAAAGATGTATCAACAAAAAACTTTGTAGGTAGATAGATCTCATTAAATAGAAATGCATTGCAAAAGAACTGTAACTCTGCCTTGCCTAAGTTTGGAATAATTGCACTTTGAACTTTGTCTGGGACATAACTCTGAAACTATGAGGGATATAAACATGAAACTTTATAGGTACAAATGTAGATAGATCTCATTGGGAAGAAGTGCAGTGCAAAAGAACAATAACTCTTCCTTGCCTAATTTTGGAGTTATTGCCCTTTATCTTTACACTCTAAACTTTGTCCGTGTCATATCTCTGAAACCATCAAAGGTATCAACAAGTAATTTAAGGTAAGTAAATAGATCTAATTAAATAGAAGTGTAGTGCAAAAGAACCATAACTCTGCCTTGCTTACTTTTGGAGTTATTGCCCTTTGTCATTTTAACACTTTGAACATTGTTAAGTACATTACTCTGAAAGTATAATAGATATGAACAAGACACTTTTTAGGTAGATAGATCTCATTGGGTAGAAGTACGATGCAAACAACTTTAACTCTACATTGCTTTATTTTGGAGTTATTACCCTTGTTCATTTTATCACTGAACTCTGTCGGGGACATAACTCTGACACAATAAGAGGTATGAACAAGAAAATTTGTAGGTAGATAGATCGCATTGGGTAGATGAGCAGTGAAAAAGAACTGTGACTTTGCCTTGCCTAATTTTGGAGTAATTGCCATTTGTACTTTTTTCACTTTGAACATTGTCTGGAACATAACTGTGAAAGTACAAAAGGTATCAACAAGAAATTAAGTCGGTAGATAGATCTCATTAAGTTAAGTGCAGTGCAAAAGAACATAAATTCTGCCTTGCCTAAAATTGGAATAATTGAACTTTGTCCGGGACATAACCCTGGTACTATAAAAGATATCAACATGAAACTTTGTAGGTAGATAGATCTCATTGGGTAGAAATGCTGTGGAAAAGAACCATAACTCTGCCTTGCCTAATTTTAGAGTTATTGCCATTTGTTCATTTTTACACTTTGAAATTTGTCTGGGGCATAGCTCTGAAACTATAAGTGGTATCAAAAAGAAAATAAGTCGGTAGATAGATCTCATTTAGTTGAAGTGCGGTGCTAAGATCAGTAACTCTGCCTTGCCTAACTTTTGAATATTTGATCTTTGTCTAGGACATAACTCTGAAACTATAAGAGATATTGATATGAAACTTTTTAGGTAGATAGATCTCAATGAGTAGAAGTGCAGTGCAAAAGAACCATAACTCTACCTTGCCTAATTTTAGAGTTATTGCCCTTTTTTCATTTTTTTACACTTTGAAATTTGTGCAGGACATAGCTCTGAAACCATCAAAGGTATCAACAGGAAACTTTGTAGGTAAATAGATCTCATTAAATAGAAGTGCAGTGCAAAAGTACCATAACTCTGCCTTGCTTAATTTTTGAGCTATTGCCCTTTGTTCATTTTTACACTTTGAACATTGTCAAGTACATTGCTCTGAAATTACAATAGATATGAATAAGACACTTTGAAGGTAGATAGATCTCAATGGGTAGAAGTGCATCGCAAAAGAACCATAACTCTGCCTTGCCTAATTTTGGAGTTATTGCCCTTTGTTCATTTTTTTTACACTTTTGAAATTTGCCCGGGACATAGCTCTGAAACCATAAGAGGTATCAACAAGAAGCTTTGTAGGTAGATAGATCTCATTAAATAGAAATGCATTGCAAAAGAACTGTAACTCAGACTTGCCTTAGTTTGGAATTTTTGAGCTTTGTCTGACATAACTCTGAAACTACAAAAGGTACCTATTCAGGAAGCATCACCCGTTTCAACCACTTTTCTTTAATAAATATATATATTCATATTGTGACCACCTATAGATTGTAAAATTTTAAACATAACATGTCTACTTTGTATGAAGTTAAACATGTTTATTTTATATTTACAAAGAGACTATGTAGGAATTACAATATTTTCGGATATAAAATTTGAGCATAGTATATCTTTAACAAAGGAAAGAATTTCATATAAAATAATTGGTAAAAAAACAACACTGATAGATACGTCAAGAATTCTTAGAAATCAAATAAAAAAAATGCCTTACTAACTTTTGTAGAAATAATTTGAAAATCCCACTGTATTTCCTGTTTGTATTATAAAAATAATTGTGACACTGTCTGTCTTTACAGATGTCATCTTGTATTGTGAAATTTACTTTCAAATGTCATATGAAGCTGTAGAAATCCTATTTAATTATGATCCTGTTAAATTATCAGAAATTTATGGGAAAAAGATTCCATATAATGTCATTCTAGGACTGTAAAGTCAGAGATAATTACTGTTTATGTGAATACAGATGAGAAATCCCTCGTGTAACTGCTGCAACATTTTCTGTTTTTAAATTGCTTTCAAAGTAAAATTTATAGGAGTTCTGCAATGTAATTTTGTAAGTTTACACTCCTATGTTTCAACTGAATTAATGTTAGCAGCTGAGAAAATATGAACTAATGAAACTTTTTTGCACAGTCCTATCAATTTTTGGAACACTGTCAAATATGGGTTTATATAATATTTATGCTATATGTGGTGTTTAACCAAGCATGTTAACATTCGGGTTAAGTGGATTCATCCCACGATTTCGGAATTGTCCATTGACCAGTAATGGGTTATTCCAGTTAGTAGCATCTGACAACCCTACCACGCAGCATGCAATGGGAGCGCCCGAATTTCCGGTCTGTAAACTAACGGGTGTGTTTCCGCGCCCTAGATCATCCCGTCCCTCGTGCATCTGATCAGAAATAAAATATTCTATATTAACTTTAAGCAATACGTGCAGCTGGGAAAAGTCGATTATACAAATATAAAACTGATAACAATAGTTTGTTTTATTACCAGATCTGTAAAGTTCTCTTTTATGGAGATGTAAATGAACCAAACGCCATGATCTGTATTTGATATAATGGTTAGTAAAATGTCTACTTGTTCTTTTGCCTTCCATTTAATTGACGGCCAAGTAATAACGACGATATATTCACAATTTATGACACCGCATTTGCAAAACAAGACGGCCTCACTGTGTATAAAGTTATCGGTAGTTTTATAAGTTATAGTTATAGCTAGTGAGAGTGTTTTGACTTACAACAATGGATCTGCCCATGATACTAGCGTCCCCTACCAACATCATATTCTGAACGTTAAAACTGGTGTCGATGATACCATCGTTAGTCTGACGTAGATTACCAAGGTCACCATCATGTCGAACAGTTCTATAATATAAATTGTGTATTCTGAAATTTTTGTCTTTCATGTCACATTTTCTCCGGTGTTCATCTAATAATAAATAAACTAAGAAAATTAGGTTCTCGAGCATGCGCTCCTCTCAAAAGACATCTATGCTATCATAGAATAAATGGAAAAAATACTATAGTTACAGATACTAATATTTTCCTTACCTATCCATAGAAGCTGGACCTCCGTGGACTGAAAAGGCGTCCGAGTCAAAGTGAGGACCGGCGTTGTAACAATTACGTGTCGTGTCTCCCCACTGATGCACGTGCATCGCGTGCTCGGCGTCACTCATTGTACTCTGAGGTAAACCCCACGCCTGTACCCGCATCTCAATAACTGGTGGGTTCTGAAATAGACGGCATTTAACTGATGAAATAATAAGGTAGGATAAGTATAAACTTGATAGTAAATTAATTGTTATGTCATGGTTATTTGGGGGAATAAAAACAACGCATTTGATAAAAAAATTTACAGAATGTTCAACATTAGAACCTTTTAAATTAAATCATTATGTATTTTCTATGATCGTGCACGAATTTGCATTTGATTGTTTAATGCCGCTCATGCTAAACCAAGGAAAGGCGACTGCACTTAAATTGTAGTAATAAGTACGAACATAATAAGATGATAATCACATTATTGGTGGTTATTGTATGGTAACAGAATTATACTTACAATTTGTAGATTTTGTCTGATATCTACCCTGCCCTGTACAGGGGTGTATGTGTTGTTGAAGTAACATGTGCCATATACCACACTGTCAGTTGTTACAAACGATCCAGTAGGACCTGTTGATGTTATTATACATCGCTGATTATATTAATATTTTAAGATAATAAATAATTATTATGGATAGAAAAAAGTCTATACGAATTTGTGCAATAAGTAAATTAGGACAAGTGCACAATTTGGTAACTGATTTTATAAGCATCAATCTTAATAATGATGTAAATTATTAATTAGGTATTGCATTGTATAACAGGTAGTAAACTTATTAGGTGGCATTTGCAGAAATTGACGAGAATGAACATACATTTGCGTTGGTTTTTAAAGTGTATAAAGCTAAACATCTGCTGCAAAAATCATTTGTTTAATTTTTAAAAGGAATACTTCCAAAATGCATGTGTGAAATAAATACGGTAGTAAATTAATGAATGGCGCATGTACAAAACCATTGCTAAACAGATAAAACTCTACTATATATAGCAGAAATTTCAGAATAAATTTTGTTCTGTTTTAAGTACACTACTCATGTGAGACATCTTTTGTTACAACTCTTTTGATGATCGACCGTAAGTTTATGATTTACTGCAGATAAATTTTATAAAATATGTCAGAAGATATAGCTTTATATCGTTTAAACAAAAATCTGACATTTCATAGTCGTGTATAATAATATACTGAAAATAGTATTTTTTCTATTTTTAAGAGCTTTATTTCACTTTCGGAGGAATGCGTCTATTGTTATTTTTAAGGATTCTAAAAAATAATGCGCAGAAACGACAATGAGACTTACCTGCCGGGCCCACGAGCGGTCGTAGTCCTGGGGGGACGATTGGTCCCTGCCCGTTAGTTTGATAGACAAATAATAACAATGAACACAAAATATAAATATACATGATAATAATGATAGAATATATCCAGATATTATGCTGAAAAACAAATTTGATACAATATGACACTGAAAATGAAATAAGCTTTGGGTCCGCGACAAAAATATTTGATGGTTTTTTGGGCGGGCAACTTTTTTTTCGAAGCAACGCCTTCTATTTAAGGACAACCCCCGAAGTACTTTAAGCTTTAAAATATTTAACCTCAATGACGCAATAGATGCATGACTTCCCTTTACATCATTAATGACTCGCTGTTGACAAACAAAATTTCGCCCGAGGTTAATAACAAATTAATCGATTTGCAATTTGGTAATACGTCAATTAATATGTTACCTTGAACCAGGGTTTGTACTCATGGTACTATACTTTCCTGCTTGAACCTTATCTTTTCATATGAATAAACTCTAAAACATCAAAAGAAAAGAAAGCTGGCAATCAATCTCATTACTCAAAAACATCTCCATATTGTTTCCTTCTTTTAAAATATGAAATATTCTGGAAACATAATATAACTTTCTATACACAAAGTATATCTAGATTATTGGATTGTCCTGGGCATATTTGCACACCAAACAAATACATGCATGTTTGTTTTGTTCGTTTCGTCTGCTGAGAAATCTGCCATATGAATTACGCCATCTTCCTGACAAACCAGTAAACAGCTTAAGCAATTTCAATTTTGAAGAGATGCTTTACATCTCATTAAAGAGTTGGATGAAATAGTCCGTGAAGGCTGAAAAGTTTAGAATATATTACATACATTTAAGTTCCATAGATAGTAAAATAATGAAGGTATGTAATTTACGAGATCCATTCAAAATAGAAAAACGTGAAAATGCAGTACATGGTACTACAGGTGAACGTGGACATTTTACAATAACTTAATTATAAACATAACTTTGAAAACGAGCTAATATCACTTCAAAAACGTTGTGCATGCTACAGAGAATACACGGCCATCAGCAGAAAATACATATAACTAGCGCAAAACCAGGGACTCAAAATGAAGATCTTTATTCTTCGGAGGTTTTTGTTTTGGTGTCTACGTTGGTACTTAGAAGTACGTTTAGTATTTACTTTACTGGTGAAAAGGGACAAACAGGACTTGCATCAAGCTTCCCAGCACACTACCTTTTTGTTTCCGAGGTCTCATATTCAAATAACGATTATTTAACAGTGAATTTGAATTATTTCTTCACACTACCATTCTTCTAACTTCTGTAAGTTCTAGTGGTTTTATGATTATTAAAAGATTCAAAGTAACTCCACTGAGTTTTTTTACATGACGGGATTTGAAATATCTTTTTCCGAGATTTGTGCATTTGATGTATGTCTGGACAAAAAACATAAATAATAAATTTTCATACCATTCTCTGAAAAAAGAAATTACGCTTTTCACTCAAATCGGGCAATAACCGCACAAAACAATCAATATTCAATCAAATTCTGAGTATATTTCTATATCATCCTTTACAGATTTCAATTTTAAGTGATTCACTTGATTTTTGTTCTATGCTTTTAGACTTTTTGACATCAGTGGAGATATACAGATAGCTTAGCTCCTTGGTGGAGGTCCTTCATAGTGGTTTTATTAGTTTCCATGCAAAAATGTTTACAGCATATTTTATGTCAAAAATTAAGCAATTGAAAGGCGCAATGATCAATATTATACATTTTTTGAAGATCTTTTTATCTTTATTTGTAAGAAATTTCATCACGCATTACCTTTATCATGAAATACCTCTTCCCTACCCAGAGCTAGACTTTCGAGGAATCAATGGGGTAGGGGGGGGGGGTGGCAATGGCCTAGTGGTAAAGGTGTCTGCCTCTCAACCCAAGGGTTATGGGTTCGAATCATACTCCTAATATGGCACCAGTGCTGATTAGATCTACGAAACGGACCCGAAAGTGATTAATATAAATTGCAAGATCTTGTTTCGGAATCGAGCGAAAATAAATATGTTTAAATCAAAATAGGCATAACGGTTGGCATAAACAGACGTACTGTATAGGCCTATATATATATATTACTAGTACTATAAACATTTTTTTAAAAGATTCGGCATCAAAATATCACTACCAGAGACATGTCCGAATTATTTGCTATACTAAAATTGTCATATCATCTTTCACAGATTAATTTTTGCGCATATTTTAACACTTGATTATTCCGGCTTTATATCACCTCGGACTTTAGTGCTATCACATTGCAAAAAAGGAGGGAGAAAGTTACTACTTTTTTCCATACCCCACGCATAGCCAATCTCATTCAGTTAAAATTTATGTTTGTTAGTAGTTACTTTGAAATATAAAATAGACAAAAAACGTATTATAAAAAAGTTGACTTGTCATTTCCAGTCACAAAACAGTTAAAGGGAGATAACACTTCCAAAAATACAATTTTTAGTGGTATTGTACCCATAATATTACACATTTGTGATATTTACGTCCTCGTAGAATTTTGGTAACAAATATTTTGCAGCTACTTTTTTGACAGTTGAAAGGTAACATTTCAAGATATTTTATGAAATTTTGTTTTCCATGTGTTAAACATTAATGTTTGCATTTATCGTCGTTCAGGTAGACATTTGTTTTCATGAATTGGAATGTTAATTATCAAGTGAATGGTTATCGGATACTGCAGTAGCCTGAGTAGGCCTACAATTCTCTGTCTTGTCAACATGTCAATTAGGCATTAGGACATCATAATTCCATGAATTTTTAGAAATCTAGTCTAAATTTATTTAGTGTGAACGGTTAATCTTCTGTTTCAGACAGCTGATGAGCATTAAGTATTCAAAAGCAAGGTATTATAGTCCAATATATCAGACGTTACAGGCTTGTTATATTCCCGCACTGCCACTTTCCGATCAGCTAACAGATTTTTCTATAATAACTGACAGTGAAATTATAAAAATAAAATTTCTCTTACAATTCTGCAAATATTATCATTTCAGCTAATAAATGCAACAACTTTTTAAAATTTTACCTGAATTATTATTATGAATCGAGGACAAATCATTACTGACCCATTTTCCTGTTCTTCAAAATTTCACAACCACTTTTCAATCAGTTAACAAAATATAAACTGTACCACATAAAAATTGTCATACAATGTTAAAATATAACCAGTTATGTATTTTGAAGAAATTTTAACAAACTCAACCTAAGATAAATGGTAATAAACAATTTTAGCCTACTGGTCAGAGAGATAACTCCGACGCATAGATAACCCCGACACTTGATAAATATAATTGTTTTGGCTTTGTTTTTCAACAAATAAGCACATGCTCACCTAACAGTATAGGAACAGGACAGAATGTGATGATTTGTTATAATTTGGTAGACTTTTTAATGTTTTTCAAATAACCTAAACTTTTTGTAGGCAAAAACTGCTTCAAAACGTTCTTTTTACTAAATTACAGTAAGGTAGTTAGAAATGTATTGACCACAGGCCACTGACTTGGGAAAGATTTTTGAAAAATTGTTTAAATATTTACAAAAAATAGATAAACCATATAAGATGTAAAAATAAATTTTTGATGCTGATTTTCCAGTCATTTTTTACTTAAAAATTTAAATGTCGACTTTATCTACTGTTGTGGGGTAAAAAGACCATGTTTTGTATACCTCATTCAAGACCTTAAAGAAGTACCAGATTTCATTTTCATACATAGTTTTTGTGGTGTAATGTAAAGTCTTTGAACTGAACTTTGTTTAGGTGGTTCAATATTTAAAATATACTGGAAGATAATTAAAATATTGCAAAAAATATGTGATTTAGTGTCGGAGTTATCTCTCCAACCAGTATTTATAATGACATTTTTCAATCTTGATATCTTTTTGCAGTAGTAAAGCTGTCACAATTGGGGTATGGATGTACATCTCAATGTGCATAACAGAAAAAGCATGTTCTTGTGAAATTTTTAGGATCTTAGGGTCTATATGACCCCATTCTAGTGACAGCTTTCTGAAAAGTTATCAGAGAGAATGTTATCTTTGGTTTAGTGACTGTTAGTTTACTGACATATAACCTTCCAATTAAGAATTGTAAGGTAAAATATGTACATATTAAAATTATAGCTTTTGAAGTGCAGTATACATTATGACTTAATGATATTGAAACAGTTGTCTAACTTAATATCCATTTTGCAGACTGACAAATAACTGAGTCTGTAAATTAATTATTTTTAGAAAATTATTGCGATTTGTAACTGGGTAAATAAAGGATTAGTGGAAAACACAAATTTTACATATTTTGAACTAAAATACTGTTATTTTCTTTTTTAACGCCATAATTGACATTGCTGCTTATAAATGTAGTCAAGGTAAATACAAGATGTGCTTACAGTTTGGTTACATGACAAATAAGGTCAAAAATAAAGAATTTCCAGGGATGATTGAAAAGTGGTTGTGATTGAAAACTGGCAGTATGTGGATAATTTTATGTCAAGCCTGACAAAGCGGCTTCATGTTTATAGGACTAGGTCTATCACAGGTATTACGAGTGGCTTCAAATTTCTACTGGTCCAGCATGCTTTGCTACTCCTTCTGCAGTTTTGACTTTATTTTCAAGATAAACTTCGCCGATGCATTAGAACCTCGCCAATGCAAGAGACTGCAAAAAAATACTCATAAAGTTAAAGCAATTTGTTTACATGAATTTAACGAACCAAAACCTAAAGCAAAGCTTGTGTTTTAGGTTAAGTATAAGGCGTGCACTTTATATTTAGCATTGTCGGGCACATTCCAGTCACCCCTGTATCCAATAAACAATCTGTTCAGAGATTTATAAAGTGCGCAAATTATACATAACGTAAAACACAAAATTTGTCCCCGGTTTTCCATTGTTATATGTAAACACAATGACTTTGAGAATTCCTGGCTTTCTATTACATTGGAAAATTACCGCTCGTCTTGCCGGATGAGTATGCAACGATTTTGTACTCGTCCTGCATCGATGTCTACTAGTATTTACAAGTAGATAAGTGGAATTTTCGTTCCCTGATGGCATTAGGACTTGACCATCAAATTTAAGATTTTTTTAGACAATTCATAATTTCTGTGATATAACATAATAGTACAAGCAACTGCAGATGAAAGCCACAAT